TTTTTTTTAAATAAAAAAATTTCGCAAAAAGATTTAAATTATAAAAAAATTTTATTCTTTAAACATTGAAATGTTTAAAAATATGAAACATTTCAATGTATTTCTTTTACTTTTTAGTTTTAAATATTTCTAAATTTTTTTAAATTTAACTTTTTTATAGTGTTTTAAATATTTTCATACTTTAAAGTTTGAAATATTTTGAAAATTACGAAGTTTCAAAAATCTTTACATTTTAAGGTATAAATATTTAAAAAAATTTTAAATTTAACCATTTTTGAGTTTTAAATATTTAAATATTTTTAATATTTCAATTTTAAAAGTTTTAAAAATTTTAAGGTTAAATATTTTAAAATGTTTTCCTCGTATAGGTTAAATAAGTATATTTAAAAGCTTTTAAGTTATAAAACACTTTTAATAATTTAATATTTTATGATATCAAAATTTAAAATAATTTTCATTTCTGAATGTTTTAAATATTTAAACATTATTTTAATATTTTATAAATTTTTTAAAGTGTTCAATACTTTAAATAACTCAATATTTTTCTCATTTTTATTATTTTAAATACTCGATAGTTTAAATGTTTAAAAAATTTTTCCATTTAAAATTTTTTAAAGTTTGAAATGCATATAAAATGTTTAATGTTCACTACAAAAAATAAATTTTACTTTAAGTCCACTTTTGGCTAAAATCGTTTAAATTAGAACCATTTTTGGGTGGATTTTAGCCTTGGGAGTATGATTTTAATTTATAAAATTGAGATTTTTTAAGCTTAAAACCAGATGATTTTAATTTATAAAAATAGTCAATTTTTCAATAATTTTAGCTTTAAAATGCAAACGGTTGTAGACTTCCTTTTCTCAATTTTTAAAAGACCTACTTAAATATTTAATATTTAAAAAACTTAATTTTCTTCTTATGATTGGCAAGCAAGAAACTTCTTCTATACAAATATAAATACAATATAAGTTTTCGACTGAAGTTATAAAAATTTTTGCTAAACAGATATACACAAAGTGGAAACACGTTTGATGGGTTGATGAAGGTGAGAACTGGAGAAGAGAAAAGAGAAGGAAGGAAATAATAGAAAAGAGGAGAGTATAGAGAAGAATATGATGAGAATGAGATGGGTAAGGTGAATCTTTGTCCTGTTACGCCATTCTCGGGAAATTCCGTATTCCAACCACACATATTATGTGGGCTCTTGTCTTTATTTCGTACAATTTTTTTTTTACTTTTTTTTCCTTTTTTTCATATACCGATCGTGTGAATTTTTCAGACTTTAGCATAAAAATATAAATGTGTATCAAGAGACCAGCTGAAAAGTCCTCAACCAGCATCTGTAGTAATGCTCTCTTTCTCTCTCTCTCTCTCTCGCAAAAGAACGATGAGGGAAACTTGATTTTATGTTTGGCATGAATTTTTCAAGAGACCTAACCATCTGCTGCCCATTTTCGTTCATTATTTCAAAACGAATTTCCTGTTTATTCGTTCGCTGCGTATATTATAATGCTTCGCACTTTCCGAGAATGTTAAATTATATAGTATTTTCCAAATTAATTAGAATGAGAAAGAAAAATTTGAAGACATTTTATTACCTATGTTGGTTCTAAAATGTAAAAATATTTGTTTATTTTTTAAGTACCTATTATTTATTATTATAAATATTTTAATAAAAATAATAATAATAATAACAATACTAATATAATAGTAACTAAATAAAGTGTCTATGTTTATTTTTAAAAATATAAAAGTTTTAAACCAATTTCCTAGAAATATTGAATTTTATTATTATTAATTCATATTTCTTGAAAATTCTGCATGTAGTTTTATTTTTAAAAGAAGAAAAAATACAATAATGTTTATGTTTTGTTATTTTTTAGAATTTTATATTTTTACTATTCAGGAGAAATTTTTCCTTTTCATAGAAAACTTTTGTGAACATTTTTTTTTGCACGTGGATCCCTTTTTCTTGTGAAAATTTGCAATGGTTGTAAAAAGGCCAAAAGTGAATTTGGAACTTTAAAATGTTGGAGTGGAAAATTCTTTTTAAAAGGAACACACACACAGAGATAAATACACGCGTCAAGAGAGTGAAAAATGAGAAATAAGGGTCTCTGGGAAGATTCGCAGAAGAGTCAAGGGAACAAAGAAGAATTTTATTTTAGTGCGTAGACGCTAAATTCCTGAATATGTGTGTAGTCTTCTCCCCCTAACTCTACAGGATACGCTTTGACTTGAAAATCGAGCTACCTGTCCGCATTAGAAACCCAACGAAATGAAAAAGGTCGGATAATAAATACCTATCAAGGGGCCAACTCAAAAAAAAAATTTTACAGGATTCTCTTCATTTTATACAATATATATATATATACAAAAAGGGAAGTGGAGATACAGAGATGCGTCGTTTTTAAAAGGTAAGAAAGACAAAGACAGGACGAAAGCAACAAGTTTTTCTTTCCTTTCTTTTAAATGCAAATTGAAGTGAAAACAACTCCAGAGGGGGTGAAAAAAATTTAAAGTGCTTCTATTTTTCTTTTCTATTTTTAAAACACACATGAAGTGGATAATTAAAAATGTAATTTCTAAATTTTCTTTCAGTTTGCGCAAACAATTTTTTTAATTTTTACCTGTTTTACTAACGGGTTAAAAAAAAATAACAACAAATAAATTTTAATAAACGAATAAATGAATTCTAATACTATGAAAAAGTGATTTTTTCCATGAAATTAAAATATTTGGTTTTTAAGTGATTTTTTTCAAGAAATTAAAAATATTTGGTTTTCAAGTGATTTTTTCACAAAAAACAAACAATCAATCGAAAAAAATGAGACATTTTTTACTTAAAGAAAGAATTTAGATTTTTTTTTATAAATAAGGAAGTTATTAGCTAATAGTAGGTCTATTGAGACTCTGGTTCACTTGGATCAAAAACTGTATTACCGACCCATGTTAATTCGGTTCAATCTAAGTGACTACTAATCATGGGTCGGTAATGTAGATTTCGATGATAAATGAACTAGACATTTTGAATTGTTTTCCTATTATTATTAATAATTATTTAAATTAAATTAAAAATTTCTAATTAGGATAAAAAAAGTATTTATTTTTCTTACCATTTTTTTAAATTCTCCAGGTAATGAAATTGCTGATCCTCTTTACTTTCCTTTACACCTTGTTCCATATTTGCGAAGAAGATATTTGTCTTTTTAGGTTTTCAGAGAACAACTTTTTTTTACTTTCACTCACTATTATATATTTTAAATAATCGTTTTAGATTTAAATAAAAACTTTCCACGTAATGAAATTGCTGATTCTCTTTACTCTCCTTTACACCTTGTTCCATATTTGCGAAGAAGATATTTGTCTTTTCAGGTTTTCAGAAAACAACATTTTTTTACTTTCACTCACTATATTGTAATTAAATAATCATTTTAGATTTAAACGAAAACTTTCATCTTGAGAAGCACCTGGAAAAAAAATTTGTCTATTAAAGTATATAAAATAATCATAGTTTATGATTAGGCCTATGCAGAATTAAACTTAATCGCGTATTGTAATTTTTACACAAGAGAAAAAAGGATAGAAATATCTTTTGTCCTTTTTGTTGAAAAAGGCAAATGATACTTTTATCCTTTTTTCTCTCATGTAAAAATTAGGAAATACGATTTTTACTTTCATTGTGCTTAGGTCTTATAATAATTTTAACAGTTACAATGTTGAACTAAAAAGCGTTTTATTAGTAAAAAACACTTTTTAGTTTGAGTTCTTGTTGATTGTTTCAACATTCTTAATTCCTAATCAAAGGAACATAGAAAATTATCCACAATTACATTTTTTATCAAAAAAAAAAAATTATTCAGAAATAAATTTTTAAGATGTAAAAATTATTCTTGAATAAATTTTTAATAAAAAACCAAAATTATTTATAAATAAATTAATTATTGGTAAACAAGTTATTCATAAATAAAAAGTCTTAAAAGAAGAAATTTTTTAAAAAAGAAAGTATTTTTATAATAAAATAAAAAAATTATTTTCGGAGCAGCAATTTAAAAAAGATTAACTTAAAAGAGAAGTACCTAAAATATCAGGCAAGTGTTATAAAATTTTTTAAAAAAGGGTCAGAAACGTAAAAAAAACCATCGCTATATCTGTGGTGAAATAGGGTCTTGTAAAACATTTTTCTTATTATTCTACCCATAAAAGTTTTCTTTAGATAAAAAAAAAATGCATTTTATTTGCCAAAAACTTGAGAAAAATTGGCAGTTTTATTGCAGGAGTCCGCTTATAGGTATACACAAATGACCCCCATTGAATACTCACAATAGAATACTCTTATAATGAGAAATGAGGATTTCTCAAGGGTTCAGCAAAAATCACACAAAATAAATCCGTGTTTATTTTGCAGAGTTTTTTTTCCCTTTTTCTTTTTTCTCCCCAAATGGCTATAACCATAAAGCGGTATGTAATATAAGAACTTTTACTCGACCCTAAAATTTTAACCACGTGTTTTCTACTTTAAAAAAAAAAGATCGAAAATATTAGTTTTGAGAAAAAAAAAAAAGTTTCTATTTTAAATAATGAAAACTTCCTTTTAATATCTATTAATATCAGTAATCTATTTTACAAATGCTTCGCATCACTTATATAATTTTTATTACATCGTTCACAACTGGAATCAATAATCCAAATTTGACGGCACATATTTTTTTGTTACGAAAAAAATTTCCCTCTTAATATTTTAATTATAATTCTGATCAAAATTATTATTTATATAATTAAGTTAGTAATTTTATAATTAAATCATTCATTATAGTAAAAAAACGGAGGAATTTTTCATTTTGAAATATCACAACAATTGTAACTATAAAAAAAATGAGAATGCAATTATTAATAAAATTACAATCGTAATTAAATAATTATAAAATAATTAATATAATTATTTTATAATTCATTATTAATTCATTTTCTATTAGATTAAAAATCATATATTATAATTAAATTATTAAGATAATCGCAATTATTTTACATGTAATGAAATTAGAAATTTAAAATCAATAATTTCATTGTTTTTTCACGATTTTTTAGCGAAGAAATACCATTAAATCTTCTGAATTACAAAAATATATTTCTTTATATATATATATATGTATATTTTAATACGTGTAGAAGTGAAAATTTTAGCCACAAAAATATTTCCGGTTTTTCTTCAACTACAAAACGTGTTTTACATTAACGAGCTTTTTACATAAATAAAATAATAAAGTAAAATGTAAATACAGTGATTTACTGTTTTATATCACAAAGTGAGAGAAGAAAATGTTAATTATTCGTTATTTGAGTGAAAAGTTTTTTTGGAATTTGATTCCGTTCACACAATTTACATAACATAATAAATATTCATTCATTCATTCATTTAGTGTAAAAAAAATTGAAATAAAAAAATGGTGAATTTTACAATAGAGACGAATAAATGTGATTATTCGTCTGTTTGAACTGTTTTATTCTCCGTGGGTGGGTCGTTTTTTAAAGACCCATATTTATTTGCAACGTCAACTATTTGTCGGAGAACAATATTTTCTTCTTTTAATCGTGCAATTAATTCCTTTTCTTTCATTTCATTCTCCTCGTCCAATGCGGCTGCTGTTTTCATTACAGCCGCCATTTCATTTATTTTTTCTGCTTGACTGGTAATTATCTGTTTTAAAAACAATGAATTATAATTAATAATAATTAATTTATAATTAGTTTCTATTCACCAAAAGTTAATAATGATATTTAGTGTATTTTTTATTCCACAGGCACAAATTATATTAAGGAAGAATCTGACGTACAGTCAAAACAAAATTTAGTCCAATGTCATAATTTTGTAATTTAAAAGAAAAAGACAAATTAAATTTTAAATTCGTTTTGATGGAAGTGCGAAGAATTTAATTTTGAACATTTAAAACGATTGAAAGTTGCATTTGAACAAAAATTACAATTTTCTGTTAATAAGAAACCAGAAACATTTGTCAAAATGTTAGGTTATGTTACTTGCATAATTTATTATTGACAAAAAATTATAATTTTTATTCAAATATAACCTTAAATTGGTATAAAAATAAATAAAAATAAAAATTTAAATAAAGAAATATAATAATAAATTAATAAAAGTCAATTCCTTTACTCGAATTGACAATTTTGACTAAATTTTCAAATCTCTAAAATATTATGATACGTAAATTTCATTTTTCTTATATTTTTACTTGTTATAATTCTTATTTGTCTGAATATTCTTATACTCTAAATATTATCTTATTTGCCGCATTTGATATCATTTTCAAACATTCGAAATATTATGTTCCATAAATTTTATTTTTCTTAATTTTATTTGTTATAATTGTTATTTATGTGAATATACTATAATTTTTATATTTTATTAATAAGGTTATGAATAACCATTCGAAATATTATGTTCCATAAATTTTATTATCCGTTATAATTCTTATTTATGTGAGAATAATAATTGAGGATCAATTTTTCAAAATTTGATAAATCCATTTTTCAAAACAATTGAGATAAACACATATTCAAAATATTAATATTCTTAGAAATCGATTTACCACTGTTGAATTTAAAAAAAATTAATTACCACAAAGAATTTTCAATTTAAAAAATATTTTAGCCTAACCTTGATGATTTTTAATTTTTTTATTAGAAAAAATTACCAAAATCTTTAAATTCCCTTATTAAAATAGACTTTAATTACAAACAGAGCGTTTTAAATAGAAAAAATATTGTTTTTTATTAATAATAAGGAAATAAGGTTACTGAATAACCTTATTTCAAAAAAGGATAAATTCATCTTTCTTATAGAAACATAGTTGCCGTGTTTGCAACACTTTTCATATTCGGTAAATATTTCCGAGTTAAAAAGCATATTTTTAATGTAATTTCAGAAAGAAAAACATTCTAGCTTTATTAAAAAAAATTATATTCAGAAAACCGGACAATAACGCGTGGGAAAGAGAAAAATAAACTGTCAGTTATTTAATTTTAACCGTCGAAAGCAGGGTTGGGAACAAATTCCTAATGTAAGTTCCAATCCACAAGAACAGTTTGAGTGTTTCTACAATATTGCTTCCTCATGAGGAAACTTTGCATTCGTGACGATTTTCAATTTTTCAAAAGAAAGTTATATGGACTCATTTTCATCTAAAACATATGTATATTCAATTATGAGCAAATGTCCAGATGTATGTGTGTGTGTGTTTGTATGTCACAAAAATTGTGTACAAATTATCTCAGACAAATTTTGATGGATTGTCCTGAAATTTTGCTGGTTTTTTGCTGTCATTAATACCTAAAATCTGACACAAGGATTTTCGAAAATATCCACAAAATTTTTTTTTATACAATTTTTTTAAAATTCAGAAAAAAATTTTTTTTGTATTTTTCGAAATAATTTTTTTATTTGTTAATATTTTCATTAATTATTCTCAACATAACATTCCTGACAAGAAAACGAATCGATTAATGTATACAAAGTATACATTTTATTAAAATTTATAAAATTATTAAATATTTTTCTTTTTCACAAAAAATTCGAATTTTTGAATTTTTGAATTTCAAAATTATGAACGTGAATTACATCACGAATTTCTATTTATATATTGAGGAAGCTCAATAGTCATAAAATGAACAACTTGTTTTAGTAGTAGCAGGTCCACCCGTACGCCATCAGACAATCAAAATTTGGTAAAAACGAAAATAAAAATTTATTTCTTCCAAATTTAACAATTCTAATCATCTGAAATTTTCCAGAGTTCTAGTAGGGACTGAGCCCTACACAATCCTGAAGAATAGAGAATTTTATTTCAATTTTTTAGTAGTAGCACTCTCACCCGAACGCCATCAGACAATCAAAATTTGGTAAAAACGAAAATAAAAATTTATTTCTTCCAAATTTAACAATTCTAATCATCTGAAATTTTCCAGAGTTCTAGTACGGACTGAGCCCTACACAATCCTGAAGAATAGACAATTTTATTCCAATTTTTTAGTAGTAGCACCCTCACCCGAACGCCATCAGACAATCAAAATTTGGTAAAAACGAAAATAAAAATTTATTTTTTCCAAATTTATTTAATCTAATCATCTGAAAATTACCAGAGTTCTAGTAGGGACTAAACACTACACAATCCTAAGGAATAGAGAATTTTATTTCAGTTTTTTAGTAGTAGCAGGTCCACCCGTACGCCATCAGACAATCAAAATTTGGTAAAAACGAAAATAAAAATTTATTTTTTCCAAATTTATTTAATCTAATCATCTGAAAATTACCAGAGTTCTAGTAGGGACTGAACACTACACAATCCTAAAGAATAGAGAATTTTATTTCAATTTTTTAGTAGTAGCAGGTCCACCCGTACGCCATCAGACAATCAAAATTAGGTAAAAACGAAAATAAAAATTTATTTCTTTAAAATTTTATGAAGCTAATCATCTGAAAATTACCAGAGTTCTAGTAGGGACTGAACACTACACAATCCTGAAGAATAGAGAATTTTATTTCAATTTTTTAGTAGTAGCACCCTCACCCGAACGCCATCAGACAATCAAAATTTTGTAAAAACGAAAATAAAAATTTATTTCTTTAAAATTTAATAAAGCTAATCATCTGAAAATTACTAGAGTTCTAGTAGGGACTAAACACTACACAATCCTAAAGAATAGAGAATTTTATTTCAATTTTTTAGTAGTAGCACCCTCACCCGAACGCCATCAGACAATCAAAATTTTGTAAAAACGAAAATAAAAATTTATTTCTTTAAAATTTAATGAAGCTAATCGTCTGAAAATTACCAGAGTTCTAGTAGGGACTGAACACTACACAATCCTAAAGAATAGAGAATTTTATTTCAATTTTTTAGTAGTAGCAGGTCCACCCGTACGCCATCAGATAATCAAAATTTGGTAATAACGAAAATAAAAATTTATTTCTTCCAAATTTAATTAAGCTAATCATCTGAAAATTACTAGAGTTCTAGTAGGGACTGAACACTACACAATCCTGAAGAATAGAGAATTTTATTTCAATTTTTTAGTAGTAGCAGGTCCACCCGTACGCCATCAGACAATCAAAATTTGGTAATAACGAAAATAAAAATTTATTTCTTTAAAATTTAATGAAGCTAATCGTCTAAAAATTACCAGAGTTCTAGTAGGGACTGAACACTACACAATCCTGAAGAATAGAGAATTTTATTTCAATTTTTTAGTAGTTGCACCCTCACCCGAACGCCATCAGACAATCAAAATTTGGTAAAAACGAAAATAAAAATTTATTTTTTCCAAATTTATTTAATCTAATCATCTGAAAATTACCAGAGTTCTAGTAGGGACTAAACACTACACAATCCTAAAGAATAGAGAATTTTATTTCAATTTTTTAGTAGTAGCAGGTCCACCCGTACGCCATCAGACAATCAAAATTTGGTAATAACGAAAATAAAAATTTATTTTTTCCAAATTTATTTAATCTAATCATCTGAAAATTACCAGAGTTCTAGTAGGGACTGAACACTACACAATCCTGAAGAATAGAGAATTTTATTTCAATTTTTTAGTAGTAGCACCCTCACCCGAACGCCATCAGACAATCAAAATTTTGTAAAAACGAAAATAAAAATTTATTTCTTTCAAATTTAATTAAGCTAATCATCTGAAAATTACCAGAGTACTAGTAGGGACTGAACACTACACAATCCTGAAGAATAGAGAATTTTATTTCAATTTTTTAGCAGTAGCACCCTCACCCGAACGCCATCAGACAATCAAAATTTTGTAAAAACGAAAATAAAAATTTATTTCTTTAAAATTTTATGAAGCTAATCATCTGAAAATTACCAGAGTTCTAGTAGGGACTGAACACTACACAATCCTGAAGAATAGAGAATTTTATTTCAATTTTTTAGTAGTTGCACCCTCACCCGAACGCCATCAGACAATCAAAATTTGGTAAAAACGAAAATAAAAATTTATTTCTTTAAAATTTTATGAAGCTAATCATCTGAAAATTACCAGAGTTCTAGTAGGGACTGAACACTACACAATCCTGAAGAATAGAGAATTTTATTTCAATTTTTTAGTAGTTGCACCCTCACCCGAACGCCATCAGACAATCAAAATTAGGTAAAAACGAAAATAAATATTTATTTCTTTAAAATTTTATGAAGCTAATCATCTGAAAATTACCAGAGTTCTAGTAGGGACTAAAACCTACTCAGTCCTGAAGAATAGAGAATTTTATTTCAATTTTTTAGTAGTAGCACCCTCACCCGAACGCCATCAGACAATCAAAATTTTGTAAAAACGAAAATAAAAATTTATTTCTTTAAAATTTAATGAAGCTAATTGTCTGAAAATTACCAGAGTTCTAGTAGGGACTGAACACTACACAATCCTAAAGAATAGAGAATTTTATTTCAATTTTTTAGTAGTAGCAGGTCCACCCGTACGCCATCAGACAATCAAAATTAGGTAAAAACGAAAATAAATATTTATTTCTTTAAAATTTTATGAAGCTAATCATCTGAAAATTACCAGAGTTCTAGTAGGGACTAAAACCTACTCAGTCCTGAAGAATAGAGAATTTTATTTCAATTTTTTAGTAGTAGCACCCTCACCCGAACGCCATCAGACAATCAAAATTTTGTAAAAACGAAAATAAAAATTTATTTCTTTAAAATTTAATAAAGCTAATCATCTGAAAATTACTAGAGTTCTAGTAGGGACTAAACACTACACAATCCTAAAGAATAGAGAATTTTATTTCAATTTTTTAGTAGTAGCAGGTCCACCCGTACGCCATCAGACAATCAAAATTTGGTAATAACGAAAATAAAAATTTATTTCTTTAAAATTTTATGAAGCTAATCATCTGAAAATTACCAGAGTTCTAGTAGGGACTAAAACCTACTCAGTCCTGAAGAATAGAGAATTTTATTTCAATTTTTTAGTAGTAGCACTCTCACCCGAACGCCATCAGACAATCAAAATTTGGTAAAAACGAAAATAAAAATTTATTTTTTCCAAATTTATTTAATCTAATCATCTGAAAATTACCAGAGTTCTAGTAGGGACTAAACACTTTACAATCCTAAAGAATAGAGAATTTTATTTCAATTTTTTAGTAGTAGCACCCTCACCCGAACGCCATCAGACAATCAAAATTTTGTAAAATCGAAAATAAAAATTTAATGAAGCTAATCGTCTGAAAATTACCAGAGTTCTAGTAGGGACTGAACACTACACAATCCTAAAGAATAGAAAATTTTTTTTCAATTTTTTAGTAGTAGCAGGTCCACCCGTACGCCATCAGACAATCAAAATTTGGTAATAACGAAAATAAAAATTTATTTCTTTAAAATTTTATGAAGCTAATCATCTGAAAATTACCAGAGTTCTAGTAGGGACTGAAACCTACTCAATCCTGAAGAATAGAGAATTTTATTTCAATTTTTTAGTAGTAGCAGGTCCACCCGTACGCCATCAGATAATCAAAATTAGGTAAAAACGAAAATAAAAATTTATTTCTTTAAAATTTTATGAAGCTAATCATCTAAAAATTACCAGAGTTCTAGTAGGGACTGAACACTACTCAATCCTGAAGAATAAAGAATTTTATTTCAATTTTTTAGTAGTAGCAGGTTCACCCGTACGCCATCAGACAATCAAAATTTGGTAATAACGAAAATAAAAATTTATTTCTTTAAAATTTTATGAAGCTAATCATCTGAGAATTACCAGAGTTCTAGTAGGGACTGAACACTACTCAATCCTGAAGAATAGAGAATTTTATTTCAATTTTTTAGTAGTAGCAGGTCCACCCGTACGCCATCAGATAATCAAAATTAGGTAAAAACGAAAATAAAAATTTATTTCTTTAAAATTTTATGAAGCTAATCATCTAAAAATTACCAGAGTTCTAGTAGGGACTGAACACTACTCAATCCTGAAGAATAAAGAATTTTATTTCAATTTTTTAGTAGTAGCAGGTTCACCCGTACGCCATCAGACAATCAAAATTTGGTAATAACGAAAATAAAAATTTATTTCTTTAAAATTTTATGAAGCTAATCATCTGAGAATTACCAGAGTTCTAGTAGGGACTGAAACCTACTCAATCCTGAAGAATAGAGAATTTTATTTCAATTTTTTAGTAGTAGCAGGTCCACCCGTACGCCATCAGACAATCAAAATTTGGTAATAACGAAAATAAAAATTTATTTCTTTAAAATTTTATGAAGCTAATCATCTGAGAATTACCAGAGTTCTAGTAGGGACTGAACACTACTCAATCCTGAAGAATAGAGAATTTTATTCCAATTTTTTAGTAGTAGCACCCTCACCCGAACGCCATCAGACAATCAAAATTTGGTACGCTTTATTGTATATCGATACACTAGCATGTGTATCTGAACACTTTTAAATAATTATTCTAAAATATAAAATTATACAATAGGTATAATGAAGAATATTAGTTTACACTAATTCTTTTTCTCAAAAATTTGAAATTATTCTAATTTTTATGTTTGGAATTTCCACTTTAGCTACATTTTATTAATTTGAATTCTAATTTAGTAGAATATGTAATTGTCCGAATTGTAATTTGGCAGATTGTCAATTCGATCGATTTTATATTTGCAAGAAATTTAATTTGACCGAATATCAATTTGTAAGAAACACTTTTTTTGTATAATTTTAATTTATCAGAATTGTAATTTTATAGAATATTAATATTGCCAAATCTATATGCGCCAAATATTTACGTTGCATCCATTTTAGGAAAAAATAAAATTAGGAGTTTTGAGGATTCGAACATTGATCATTGTGATAAAGAAGATTTCTACCAAAATTAGATTTGGCAATATTAATATTCTATAAAATTACAATTCTGATAAATTAAAATTCTACAAAAAAGTGTTTCTTACAAATTGATATTCGGTCAAATTGAATTTCTTGCAAATATAGAATCGATTGAATTGACATTCTGACAAATTATAATTCGGACAGTTAAATATTGTACTAAATTAGAATTCAAGTTAATAAAATGTAGGTAAAGTGGAAATTCCAAACATAAAAATTAGAATAATTTCAAATTTTTTGAATTTCATTCAATATATAATTTAGTTTATTGAGGATTTGCGTATCTAGTCATTTCTAAATTATGTATTTGGCATAATGAGCATTCGGAGCGGACTTATGTTTTTTGTACAGACGGTCGCACCCCAAAAACAAAATGTATAATATAGGAAAAAAATATCTACCCAACCCTATAAGTCACTAAAAGATATTTTATATTAAATATTGCAAAAAACCATCTAATAAAAAACAATTGTTCTGACACGTTTCAACAAGAAATATTAAGGTTGGTTGGTTTCCGGAACAAGAAAAACCTTTAAAAATTACTGTCACTACTTATGCTTAATTTGAAATGGATTTTTATCACAATTTAGACGGTTATCGACATATTTAAAAAAAATCATCTGAAAAAATCGTGAATTCTCTGTTTTATTAATATATTATTATAAATTAATATAAACCTATATATATTTTAAAAAATGTATTAAATTAAATATATATATATAGTTCAACTATATTACTTCCCTCGAATAATCGACATCATTATTCGAATACTTTCGATTCTTAGTATAACTTAAAATTGATTGTAATAATTCGATTTTTTCACTGAAGTATTCGATTTTCGATTAAAATCGGTTTCGATTTCAACATTCCTATTTCAAATAAAGTATAACTTCTGATTGACATTTTTAAATATTTTTCTTGCTCCAACAGAAAATTGAGGATATTTTTTTTTTTTAAATGTAGAAATTTTTTAAAAAGCTTACATTTGCGTATTTAGAATTGTAGAGTGATGTATAGTCTGGTTTCCATTGTTTTAAAAGAGATGCTGTCTGTTTACGATATTTGGACATTATTAATTCGAGAGCACTTTTGTGATCTTCAAGAGCACTTTTTAGTTCTCGATTTTCAGCTTGAATTTCTCTAAGATGTCTATTTTCTTGCTGAATTCCAGCGATAACTTGCAAATGAGAAGTTTGTTTTGCCTCGGCATTTAAAACTTCCACTTCCTCTTGGTACTGCAAATAATTTTCATTAATTAATTGATTTCAATTTTTTCTCTTTAAAAATTACTTTAATTATTACTGTATTACTTATTTTAATTATTTCTATTGTTTAATCATTTTATCTATTAATTTTCATAATTTTTGTTAAAAAAAAATTTAATTTTTAATAAAAATGAATAAAATTACGAAAATTAATAAACAATTAAAAATTCTTTATTATTATTTTTCAATTTTTACTAATTTCATTTTTATTTCTCTTTATGTTTATTATTATTTATAAAAAAATTCTGCAATGTTAAAGATTAACAGAAAAAATTTTCAAAATTAAACAAAAAAAAATAAATACATAAAGAGGTAATAAAATATTTTAACTAATTAAATTTTTAATAATAAAAAATGTCGACGAGAGAAGATAAACAACAAATATAAGTGTAAACAAAGTTTTCCAATAAAATAAAAATACACGATTCAAGTACTCTGAAATAAAGATCAAGTTTTAAAATAGAAAAAAAATTGATAAAATGTTTAACGCGTGGGAAATCCAATTTTACTGTTGAATTCTATTCTATAAATAATAGTGGTACATCAATAATTTACTTACCTGCTTCATTCCATCAATTTGTGTGCAAACTGATTGAATTTCACAAATTAAATTATCAGCTTTACTCTCTTGATCGGATATTCGACCTACTAATTTTTTTGCATCTAATATAATTTGTTGAAATGTCAAAGACATCTGAAAATAATTATACATCTTATATTATTTTTCGAAACGATAAAATTAATTATTTTAATAATAATCTCTTTGTTGTTATTGTATACACATTTTAAAAAACGAATTGGAAAAAAATGTTCTTTACATTTTCATTAAATACGTATGTGAATTATTTTGATTAACGAATTCTTTCTTTTTTTTCTAAAAGAGTTAACAATCAGAATTACGTAAAGAGAAAGTTAAAAAAATATCCTACGATTAGTGTTAAAAAAAACTCACCTTTCACTTATTGTTGTTTAATTGACAGGACACGAAATAAGCAAAAACAATAAGCAATAAAAATATATATGTCAAAAACTGTGGATGTCTTAGGTCTGAAAATAATGAGTTTTTTGTAGAGAGGAAACTGATGGTTTGTTTTGATATAAAGGTGATTTCATAAGGGTTTGTATTTTAGGATGTTAGGGTGCAATCACAATGCGACGGTTGCTTACAAGAGTAAAGGTGCTTGTCACGATAAATTTTTTTTTTGTATTCTTAGCTACCCTACTCTGAACTAGCAGACGACAATGCTCTCCACACTCCACATGACAAAAATAAACACTTCTAACCTCACAAACACAAAAATTGTGCACCAAAAACCCACATATGTCACAATGTCAAAAACGGCAAGTAATCGCGACACAAAATTAGGTAAAAACGACGTTCTCCAGGCAATTGTATTTGCCGACGATTTTACCGAAAAACTCTCACCCCTTGATAATGTCCTGCCAACTATTTTACTTCCCGTTTTAAATACTCCTCTCCTTCAATATCTCATTGAAACACTCGTTGCCTCTCGCGTTCAAGAAGTATTTCTCTACTGTAGCAATCACATTGATCTATTGAAAAATTACATTAAAACTCTAAATCGCAGTGACATTACAATAACGCCGATAATCTCCGACGGTTGTCGTTCGCTGGGCGATGCTCTCCGGGACATTGACATTAAGGGCTGGGTGAGGGGCGATTTTATTTTAATTCGCGGTGATGTCTTTACAAATGTCGATTTAAAACGTCTAATAACATCGCATCGGGCAAAAACAAAAAAAGATCCCGGCAATAGTATGACATTGTTGTTGAGTAATTTTGGTAATTTACAAAATTCTTGCCTCAAGGAGGAGACTTGTTTATTGGTGTCAAATAATGAGGACAATAAAGTTTTACTTTATAAAAAAATGCGGAAGGAGAAGAAAATTCAAATGGAATTACAATGGTTTTTAGATCATGAGAATATTCATATTAATTCTGGACTATTGGATTCGCATGTTTATTTTTGTTCGCCATCTGTTCTTCCACTTTTCTCCGATAATTTCGATTTTCAGGTGAGTTCTTCTTATTTAATTTCAATCAATTTTCTATTTTTAGTATTATTTATAATTTTAATTTAATAAATAATAAAAAAAAAGTTTTATTAAATGATAATAAATGTTTCATCTTTATTTTATGCTTCAAAAAATTTAACGGAGAAAATGAATTACAATGTATTTTATACTCGAACAAATTAAACGAAATAAAATCTAAAAAAGGAAATTATTTCTTTTTTTTAAAAAAAGAAAGTTTTACTATAAAAAAAAGGAAATTAATTCTTTTTCTAAAAAAAAAAAAGTTTTACTTTTAAAAAAATAGAAATTAATTCTTTTTTTAAAAAAACAGAAAGTTTTACTTTTAAAAAAAAAGGAAATTAATTAAATTTTCCCAGAATTTTTCACGAATAAGGAAATTAATTCTTTTTTTTAAAAAAAAGAAAGTTTTACTTTTAAAAAAACTGTAATTTTTCTAAATTTAAATATTTGTAATTAATTCTTTATTTTCTCAATTTCAGGGAAATCAGGGAAAAATCAGGGATTTTTATTAAAAGTACTGGAAGAAATTAAATTTTTAGAATTCATAGGAAAATTCTGAATTTTTGTGTCTTTTTTGTTACAAATAATTGCAGAAATTCAATTATTTTCAAAACTAATAAAATTCATCGTGAAAATTCAATTATTTCAAAAAATTTTTAAATTCTCGTCAAAATTTCAATTTTATCTTTGTAAATAATAAAATTCTTCTTCGAAATTCAATTATATTTGAAAATTTTAATAAAATTCTTTGGAAAAATTTCAATTATTTTTCAATAATTTTACAAATAAAATTCAATTCTTTAAAAAAAAAATTTTAATAAAATTCTTTGCATGAATTGAATTATTTTCATAAATAATAAAAATTTCACAGGAATTCAATTATTTAAAAAAAATTTATAAATTTCTTCGCTATAATTCAATTAATTTCATAAATAATAAAACTCATCGCAGAATTTCAATTATTTTTAATACTTAAAAATTTTATTAAAATTCGTCAAAAGAATTCAATTCTTTGAAAATTTGTTGATTAAATTCTTTATGAGAATTAAATTTTCGAAAATATTCAATTATTTAATAAATTATTTATTTTTGTATTTAAATAATTGAATTCCCGTAAAATAAAAAATTCTTGTCAAAATTTCATTTATCTTTATAAATAATAAAATTCTTTTTCAAAATTCAATTATTTTGAAAAATTTTAATAAAATTCTTAGCAAAATTTCATTTATTGTCAAAAATCTTCCTCAATTCAACAATTTTCAATATCTACTAATTTTTATAAAATTATCCAAATAATTCAATTTAAAAAAAAATTTTTTGTTAGAATTCTACTCAAAATATTTAATTATTTTTATATACATTATTTTCATAAATAATAAAAATTTTTACAGGGATTCAATTATTTTCATAAATAATAAAACTTATTACAGAATTTTATTTATTTTTAATTGAATTTTAATTGAATTCTTTGAAAAATGCAATTATTCTTAAATTTTTTTTTTAAATTCTTCAAAAGAATTCAATTATTTGAAAATTTTTTGTTAAAATTTTTTATAAGAATTCATTTTTAGGAAATATTGAATTATTCAATAAATTATTTATTTTCGTATTTAAATAATTGAATTCTCGTAGAAATTTCTAATAAGCAATTTTTGTCAAAATTTCAATTATATCTTTAAAAATAAAATTTCTTCTCCGAAATTCAATTATTTTCAAAAATAACAAAACTTTTCACAGAAATTCAATTCTTTTTAAACATTTAAATAAAATGTTTGGCAATAATTCAATTATTTTCATAAATACAAAAATTTTTCCCAGGAATTCAATTATTTTTATAAACAGTAAAATTTCTTGAACAATTCAATTATTCTTATAAACAGTAAAAAAAAATACTTTTTATAGAGATTCAATTATTTTAATTAATAATAAAATTTATTGGAAAATTTCAATTATTTTTACGAAAACTTTACTTTAATGAAAACTTTACTCCTTGAAAAATGTCATTATTCTTCAAAATTTTATTAAAATTATTTAAAAATTTGTTGATAAAATACTTTATGAAAATTCAAATTCATAAAAACATTGAATTATTTAATATAAAATTATTTATTTTTCTATTTGAATAATTGGATTTTCGTAGAATATTCTAATAAAAATTGATTTAAAATTGAATTTTAGTTAAAATTTTAGATAATAATTTAATATTAAAATCATTATTGTGTGAATTTTTAGAAATAATTGAATTTTGAAAAGGTTTTCAAACAAAAATCTTTGAAAATCTGAATTTTCCATTCTTTTAACGAATAAATTTTTTTTTTTTTGAAAAAGATTAATTGAATTTTTTAAAAAAATTATTTGAATTTTTTATTTTCTCAAATATATATTTAATTGAAAATTTCTCGAATAGTCGATTATTCGGGATTTCGAAAAATTGAATTGTAAACAAATAGATTTGAAAAATATCAAAAAACTTTGTAAAAATTATTAATTATAATTATTAATTATTAAAGATAATTGATTTAAAGAAGAATTGTAGTTAAAAATTTTAGTAAATAGTAATTGAATTGAAATGATGAAAATAATTTTGAAGAAGTTACAGTAACAATATTCTTTTATTTTATAAAATAATGATTTTTAAAATTTTGAATTATTATAAAACATGAAGAAATCGATTAGTCCGAGTCGAAGACTCGGAGTGATTGATTTCTTCATGTTTTAATAAAATTCTTATAAGTTATTGAATTTCAAAAGGTTTGAGTTTGAAATTAAATTATAAAAAGATTAAAATTTAAAAAAATTCAAAAATACAAGATTTAAAGAATAAAAATCAAATTTAAGTTTAAGATCGTAAAAATTAAAATATTACAGATAAAAAAATAAGATTTGTATTTTATTTTTGCAGACAATGGAGGATTTCATAAAAGGCGTCCTGCTAAACGAGGAAATTCTCAATTCCCGAATTTACTGGGAATCGCCGAGTCCCACGGAATACGCACTTCCAGTGACATCGTGGAAAGCTTATCACAAATTAACCCGCGATATTTTACAACGCCAAGCATATCCATTGACTCTCGATTTACTTGGTTTCTACAAAAATTATTCATGCCTCTCAGTTCTGAAAAGCACCTACAAACATCAAACGGCAACAATATCACGCGGTTCATTCCTGAAAAATGACTCAATAATCGGCGATAAATCACTAATCAATGGAAATTGCACCCTAATTAGAACCGTGATCGGTGACAATTGTCAAATCGGCAACAAAACAGAATTGGAAAATTCCTATCTATTCACAAATGTAAAAATTGGTGGCAATGTTTTTTTAAAGGACTGTCTAATAATGCCCGATTGTAAAATAGACGATTGCGTTCGTTTAAATAATTGCATTGTCACTGCGAATGTTTCACTGAAAAATTGTGAATTCACCGATAAAATAATTAGCGAATCAAAGGGAGAAATTGTGGTTGACGATATTTTTGAACCGCAATTTCTCGAGGGTGATGGGGAATTTTTATTTTTCGCTGAGAGAAAAAATAATGAGAATGATAATGAGATTGATGAGGAATCGAACGATGAGAGCAGTAGTGAGGCAAGTTATGCGGCCTCTGTTCCTGACGATGTCAGTATATTTTTGTCGGAAGTAATTGACAGTTTGTCGCGTGGCTATCAGGATAAATTGAATTGCGAGAATCTTATTTTGGAAATAAATTCGTCGCGTTACGCTTATAATATGGCAATTCGAGAGGTTACCTATAATGTGATTAAGGCGGTGTTGGGACTTCCGGCGCACTATTTGAAGCACAGTGACAGTCCGTTGAGTGACGATGTCTACAGGAAGACGCTGAAGGGAATGTTGATTTATTTTAAGAAAATTATTGTCAATTATATGAAAACTGAAGATTCACAGGAGGATTGCTTGAGAGCGATTGAGGACGTTGCGAATACGACTAAAGCACTTTTGCCATTTACACATCATTTGTTGCATTTCCTCTACGATTGTGACGCTCTTTCCGAGGAGAAAATCATTGAATGGTATTTAATCATAATATATTTGATTTGAATTTTGATATTTAATTTATTATTTTTATGCAAATCACAATTATTATTGTACTAAATTTTTTAATAATTTCAATTTATTTATTTATTTAATTTTATAATCAAAATTTAAAAAATTTACATATTAAGTAAATAATTAATTATTATTATCGTTTATATTTTCAAAAATTTTAATATAATTCTTCGTGAGAATTCAATTATTTTCATAAATAAAATAACATTCTTCGAAAGAATTCAATTATTTTTATAAAATAGTAAAATTTTTTTCTAAAATTCAATTATTTTCTACAAAATCTTAATAAAATTTAACAAAAAAATTCAATTATTTTCTAAAATTTTAATAAATGCTTCGGAAAAATGCAATACCTAATTTTTTGTAAATAGTAAAATCTTTGCAATAATTCTATTATTTTGAATAAAATTTCATGAAAGAATTAAATTTTTTTCTTAATTTTTTATAAAATTTTTCAAAAGAATTGAATTATTTTCTAAAATTTTTGAATAAATTCTTCAAAACAATTGAATTATTTTTAATGCAATTTTAATAAAAATTCTCGAAAGAATTTAATAATTTTCAAAAACTTCATATATATAATAATTCAACAAAACAATTCAATTATTATCAAAAATTTTAATAAAATTCTTCTCAAGAATTCAATTATTTCAATTATTTATTATAAAAATTTTTACAGGAATTCAATTATTTTTAAAAAATTTAATAAAATTCATCGAGTAAATTCAAAATTTTTAATAAAATTCTTTGCGTGAATTCAATTATTTTTATTAAATAATAAAGATCTATGCAAGAATTCAATTATTTTTAATAAAATTTTAATATTTCTCAAAAGAAGTCAATTATTTTTAAAATTAAAACAATTCCATTTTTTAAAAATTTTTAATAAAATTTTTCTGAACAATACAAATATTTACTAAAATTTTAATTAAATCCTTCGAAACAATTTAATTATTTTCAAAAATTTTATTAAATCATTCGGAACAATTCAATAATTTTTTTAAATAGTAAAATATTTGCTAAAAATCAATTATTTTCAATAAAATTTCACGAAGGAATTCAATTTTTTTCTTAATTCCTTACAAAATTTTTCAGCAGAATTCAATATCTTTCTAAAGTAGGTAATAAAATTTTCCGAAAGAATTCAATTATTTTCATGAATAGTAAATTTTTTTTTTAAATTCAATTATTTTCAACAAAATCCTAAAATTTCAGTAAAGAATTCAATTATTTTCTAAACGTTTAATAAATGCTTTGAAACAATTCAATTATTTTTATAAGTATAGAAAAATTCATAGCAAGAATTAAATTATATTTATAAATAATAAACTTCTTCTTATGAATTCAATTATTTTCAATACAATTTTTATAAACTTCAATTAAATTAATTTAATTAATTAATTAATTAAATTATTAAATTAAAAATATATAAATTTCAGGTATGAAAACGATCTGGACGAAAAGGAGGCGAACGTACAAGCATTAAAAAAGGCCGTGATGCCATTTATAAAATGGCTCCAGGAAGCAGAGGAAGATTCAAGTAGCGACGAAGATTGAAATTATTTTCAAAAGAAAAAAAAATGAGAGGTATTTATAGGGAAAAAATTTGGGAGGTGAAATAAAAAATCGAACTCAATTTATACTTAAACTCCTAATTAAAAAACCATTTGTATTTAGGTTGTAAATTGTACATCGAAAATAATACATTTTTTTTGCAACAATTCGCATTTATTTAATGATTATTTTTTATTATCATTATTATCAAATAATTTATTACGAAAAAAAGTTCACGCAGTACGGAATGGTTTTTATTTTTATTTTTACTTTATCCTCATCCTACATTAAATATTAATGTACACAACTTGTCCTTTACTTGTTTAATTCAGTTCTTATTAAATATTTTCTTGTTTTTCAAATATTTATTTTCAGCACTTGAAGAAATAAAAACCAAAAAGTAAATATTTTTTTCTACTTCTCTATCTTTTAATAGAAAAAAAATAATCAATTTTTCTATTTTTCTATATTTTAAAAGAAAAAATAAACATTTTTTTTCTACTTTATTTCTATCTTTTATGCAAAAGATACAGAAAAAAATAGAAAAGTATTCTTTTCTGTATCTGTATTAGAAAGAAATACAAAAAATAAAATAAAAAGACAAAAAAAAAAAGAAATTAGAAAATAAACCCTCAAGTGCCCAAGTTCAAATAAAACGAAAGTATTTTTGAAAAAAAAAGAAATTCAACTCTGTAACATTTATAAATATAATTTCTAGAAAATTTTCTTTTCTAATTTACTCTCGTGATATTGGAATAATTACAATATTAGAAAATAGAAAATACAAAAGAAAATCTAAAGATAGAAAAAAAATTCCCTTTTCAAAAAAAAAAAAAAAAAAAAAAAGAAATAAAGAAAAAGTAATTTTAAATTATACATTATTTAAAAACGTAAATACCTATAAAGTGAAAATAAAATTGAATGACAAAGAGACGCCATACTTGAATATTGGCAGTAGAAAATAAAAACAAAAAATTGAAAACAATTTGATACAAATGTTAAATGCGACAAAAATTATTTAAATTCACAGCAGGAAGGCAATAATTTCAAAACACCAAAAATTTTTAAAAATACAGAAAAATGATAGAAAAACGGTGAGAAAATACTCTGAGAAATGAAAAAACGGAAAAACGAATATGAAAAAGTGCGGAAAACCGAAAAAAAATTGAAAAAAAAATGAACGAAAGTGTGTAAACAGGAAAAATTTTAAAAATGAAAAACAGAGAAATATGAATGAAAAAGTATGTGAAAAACAGAAAAACTTCCAAAAATGAAAAAAAAAACAAAGAAAAAAATATTCTTTTTTGAATTCGAGAAAAAAAGTTTAGCCCATTCTTCTCGACGGAAAAAAAAGTCTCACAGAGTTTCGATAGATTGTTCGGTAGATTTTGCTAAATCCTTGGAGAGTTTGAGAACATGGAGTATAACCTCATCGACTGTTTGTATAGTGAGGAGTTTTTTCACATTTTGATCTTCAATAACAACGGTGAATAAAAGTTTAACATTTGCCCTCAATCTTTCCTCAAAGGGCAAATCACTATCGCCTGTAACTGGTACATGTCCACATCTTCTGATCACTGCCTCCAAAATATCTTGAACCGGTTCAGTCGGCCAGCCAAAGATCTTTAAAAAAAAACCGAAAATTAAATCAATGTAGAAAAAAATTAAATTCCTTCGTGAAATTTTATTCAAAATAATTGAATTATTGTAAAGATTTTACTATTTACAAAAAATAATTGAATTTTTGAAAAAAAATTTTATTATTTATATAAATAATTAAATTTTTCCGAAGAATGTTATTATTATTAATGAAAATAATTGAATTATTTCGTAAAATTTTATGATTTTGTTGAAAATAATTTAATTTTCGAAAGAAAATTTACTATTTTATAAAAATAATTGTATTCTTTTGAAAAATTGTACAATAAATTAAAAAAATAATTGAATTCTTTAAAGAAATATTAAAATTGTATTGAAAATAATTGAATTTCTTCAAAGATTTTGATTATTTATTAAAAATAATTGAATTCATGTAAAGAATTTTATTAAAATTTTGGAATTAATTGCCAATTGTCTCGATGAATTTTATTAAAATTTTGTAAAAATAATTAAATTCCTGTGAAAGTTTTTATTATTTATGAGAAATAATTGCATTCTTGTCAAGAATTTTATTAAAATTTTTGAAAATAATTAAATTCTTTCAATAAATTTTATTAAAATTGTATTTAAAATAAATAAATTTTTGACAAAGAATTTTACTATATTTATAAAAGTAATTGAATTTTTTTGAAGAATTTATTAAAAATTTTAGAAAATAATTAAATTATTTCTTGAAATTTTATTACGATTTTGTTGAAAATAATTGAATTGTGCAAGAAATTTTACTGTTTATAAAAATAATTCAATTCTTTAGAAAAATGTTATTACCTATTTTAGAAAATAATTGAATTATTGGCAAAAATTTTATTTAAATGTTCAAAAAAAATTGAATTTCTGTGAAAAATTTTGTTATTTTTGAAAATAATTGAATTTTTCGATAATTTTCGAATAGTATTAAAATTAATTGAAATTCTTCGATGAGATTTATTATTTATGAAAATAATTGAATTCTTGCTTAGAATTTAAAAAAATTTTGTTTTAAAAATTGAATTTCCATATGAAAAATATTATTATTAGTGAAAGTAATTAAATTGTATAAAATTGTGAAGAATTGTATAAAAATTTTGTTAAATAATTGAATTTTTTGAAAATGCTATTCTAAATTAATTGAATGTATGTGGAAATTTTATTATTTATATGAAAAATTTTTTGAAAATAATGAACTTTTTAGAAAATAAATACAATTTTTGTCGAGTACAAAACAAGGGAAGGTTTGAATTTCTTTTTTGAAAAATCTCTTTGTTTTGTACCTGCAACGTTTCCTCTTCGATGAGAATCGTTAGAAGATCGACAATTGCCTTTAGTAATTGATCGGCGCTGAGTGTGCTTGACGAGCCTTTTTTATGCTTCTCGGCAGCTGTATTTGCGATATTAAAAAGTTGCAATTGCAAGTGACGTTTCTCCGCCTCGCCCATTATGTCCTCCAGTAAATCACGATGCTTGGCGCGAATATGTCTCATTAAACAATCCTGACGAATGAAAGCTCTTCCGCATTCGGCGCACGATTGCGGCGGTTCCCGTCTATGAGTATTCAAGTGCGCCTGCAGCGACGATTTTGTCGCGAACGATTTCTCACACTTTGTACACTTGTGCGCTATAAAAAAAATTACGTTTTTATTAATTTTTTTTTTTTTTTTGTCAAATTAGACGAATAATAATTAATTCATAATAAATTTTATTAATTAGAAAAATTAAATAGAAATTAAAAATTAAAAATAGAAATAGTTTAATGTAAATTATATAAATTAGAAAAATACATTTACTTCATGTAAATTGTATTAGTTAAAAAAAATATTTTGTTAAAAAAAAAATATTTATTTTATTTAGATTTCAATTTTTGAATAAGAATAAAATAAATAAGAAAAATAAATTACGTTTGAGTCCGGTGTGAAGGAGAGTGTGTTTTGCCAGATCCTCCTTTCGAGTGAATGGTCTTTTGCAGACGTCGCATAAAAATGGAGTTACGCCCTCGTGGACAAATTTTCTGTGAACAGTGAGACGCGCCTTGCGATTGAACGTCTTTCCACAGTCCTCACAATTAAAACCATTTTCGCCCGTGTGATGGAATATATGAGCTCGCAATTGTGCCGCTTGAATAAACGATTTTTTGCAATACTGACAAACGTGCGGCTTCTCCCCCGTGTGAATTCTCTGATGACGATTTAACGTTTCCCTCGCGGCAAATTTCTTCTGGCACTGAAAATTTTATTTTCAAAAATAAATCATTCAATTTCTATTATTATTACTGATAAAAAATAATAATAATAATAACAATAATTAGGTACTAATTATTTATATTAAATTTCTAAACCAAGTGAAGACTTCAAAAGATAATAATAATTTTTATTTTTGTCAAGTTAATTTTACGAGGAAACGGATTAAACCTTTTTTTAAAAGAAACTTTATTTTTTAAGGATAAAAATATAAAATTAAGTTTATTTTTAAAAAAAAACAATTCAATACCTGCTTAAATCCGTTTAAAGGCCTCGTAAAATTTATTTGACAAAATATTTTAAAAACGGAAGTAAAATTACTTGAAAAATAATAATAATAGTAATTATTATTATTATTACTATTATTGTTGTTATTACTATTATTATTACTATTATTACTATTATTACTGTTATTACTATTATTATTATAATTATTCATTATTACTTTTATGACTATTATTCGTTTATTTCTTAATTTTTGAAGTTTCATATTGAAAATTGAGAATTTATAGAAATTTTATTTGTATTTACAATATTAAATTTTAAAGTAAATTTAATATATAGTAAATTTTAATTTAAGAAAATTTAATTTGTAGATTAAAATTTTGGATTTTAATTCTAGGAAAAAAATTGTCGTTTAAAAATTATTTTTACATATAGTTACTTACGATTTTGTCGGTATATCCAGAATGCTTGCTTGTAATTAAATCAGATAAAGAATCATGACAAAGATTGAGGGATTAAAAGCATTTAAAACCTTTTTTTCTTCTTTTATAGGAGAAACGAAAAATAAAGTATTAAAGGGGGAAAGTAAAAAAAAAATTAGAAAAACTGCGAAAATTGTTTGCTTTTTTTTGCGTAATTAAACTGTAAACTCACAAATTTGCACTCGTATGGCTTTTCTCCGGTGTGAACGCGACGATGCTTTTTCATTGCGAGCGTTGAATTAAATGATTTTGTACATAGATCGCAATTTATTGGCTTCTCTCCCGTGTGCATTCGCTCGTGAATTATTAATTGTTGCGATGTGTAAAATTCCTTTGGACATTGGGAGCATCGCTTTTTTTGTCGCGTCTGATTTCCCGCGTGCGAACGCAAATGCTCACGTAAATTGTCTTTTCTTGTGAATTCCTTGCTGCAAACCTGGAGAGAAGGAATTTTCTTTTAATTTTCTACATAAATAACAACTAAATAAATAACAATTAAATAAATAAATAACAAAAAAATAAATAAAAACTACATAAATAACAAAATAAACAAATAACAACTAAATAAATAACAAATAAATAAATAAATAAATAAAATAGCAAGAATATATTTTTAAAAGTAGATAGAATATTTAAATTGCCTAAAATTCTTCAAAAAATGAAAAAGTTTATATTTTAGTAAAAATTGAAAGTAAATTTCAAATTGAAATCGAAAGTGAAATTAAAATTGAAATTTTTAAATACAAAATAAAATCATAAAAATATGTTAACGGAAAAAAATTTACTTGACAAGAGAACGTATTCTGCAATTGTCCGTGACATCCCGATTGAAGTTTGTGTCGATTCAAATGATAACTTCTTGAAAAATATTTATCGCAACGCTCGCATCTGAAAAAAGTATTTTTTTAAGTTTAAGCAAAAATTATCTCTCCTAGAAAACAAATTGTTCTATTTTTATTATTGCTTCCTCATAGAAGAAGAATTGTATTTGTTTAAATAATTTAAATTAAATTGTTTAAATAGTTTAAATAATTTAAATTAGTTTTTTTGGACTTTGTTTCAGTTTTTTCGTTTTCAAAATAAATTCTTACTTGTAAACTTTATTGGTAGCGTGCGTCGTGTATTTATGTTTATCCAATGATTTTTTATCACGAAATGTGGCGTCGCAAAGATTACAAGTGTGATTCTCGTTCTCCCAATGAATAATGATTGTATGTCTTTGAAGGGAAGCGGCTTTTTTAAATGAGAGATCGCATTCGTTACATTTGTGTGGACCGCCTTTGTGGGCTTTTTTCAAATCCTCACCACAACAATGACACTGATTCTCCGACACTGGTTTTATATTCGGTTTCTCATTGTTATTTTTCAATCGATCTGAATCTAAAATCAGAAAAAAAATTAGTTTTCTTTTTATTAGAGTTTTTATTTATTATTTAAAAATTTTTTAAATTTATAAATTTTTTATTTATTAAAATAGAAAATAATTTTTAAATCGACTTTCTCACCGGAAGATTTATCATCGGAAAGTGACAATTTTGGATCGTCAACATCATCGGCATCGTCGCCATCATCATCTTCATCATCATCATCATCATCGCCTTCATCTTCGTCCGATTCGTAATATTCCTCGAGATTTCCCAAATCCAAAATATTTCTATCATCGTCCTCCTCTCTGCAGACTTCTAAATGCTCCGTCAGCAACTGTAAAAAATTATTTTACAAATCAGTAAATATTTTTTATCAAGTAAAAAATTTAATTTACATTTAATTTTTATTAACATTTATTTCCATTTTTACCCAAATTTTTTTGTAAATTGTTTTAAAAAAAATATCTTTACAAAGTACAAATTTCAACAAAATTTATCTTTAATTTCTAGTAAATTTTCGTAAATTTCTCATCGTGAATTCGAAATACAAAAAAAATAGTTAAATTACAAAAAAAAGAGAAACAAAAAATTTATAAAAATAATGAAAAATTGTACATATTAATTAAAATAATTATTTTAATAATGTAAATTTTTTCATTCAGAATATAAGCAGAGTTTTTGAAAATCATTCTTTCTTACGTCTTTATTCTGGAAGATTCTGTGGCACGTGACACACTCGTAGTCCATAACAATTTCAATAAGATGTCCATTGTGTGTAAAATCTGTAAAAAAAAATATTTTTTCTCTTAAAAAAATTTGGAATATATTAAAATTTTACATTAAAACTGAGTAAACGTGTTTATAAGGAAAAAAACTGAAAAAATTAAAGAGAAAAATAATTTTTACCTAAAAAAACAAATTTCAAAGTTATTGCATAAGAAAAATTATTTTTAAAAACTTAAACAAATTAAATTGAGTGACTATAAATAAGTAAGTAAATAAATAAATAAATAAAATCATAAAAATAAAATGGAATATAATAAATAATAAAAATCTTAGACTTTTATAATAAAAGTTTTCTTATTGTAAAACGGTTTATACTGTAAATAAAATAAATAGAAATTATTGAAATTATAAATAATTTTTTTTAAGAGACAAAAAATAAAACTTACATCCATCTTTATTAACTTCAACAGTATCTAATGTTTCTGGAATTATTAAAGACTCACTAACTGTTTCACAGGAGTTTAAAGTATCTAAAAAATTAAATTAAAAATTCATAATTTCGAAAATTATTCATTTATTTCACAATATTTTATTTCATAATATTTATTAATTAGAACTCTTAAAAGCACAAAATCAAAACAATTAAAGCAAAAAATTAAACAAGAAATTTTGCCAAAAAATTTTTTATTTTTTTGATTAAAATTTATTTTGATTAAACTAACTTGTTATTTACTATAAAAAATATAAATTATATAAATGAAAAATAAATAAAAAATTAATTAATTTAAAAAGAATGTAAAAAACTTTATTTGGTTATAAATTATCTATTTTATTTCTCTATGAATTTAGTGATATAAGAATATCACTAAATAAAACATAAAAAATATAAATATAAAAATTGTAACAATACAAATAAAAAATTTAATTTTTAAAATAAAATATAAAAAAAATTTAATTTGAAAAATAATATTTATTTTATTACATAAAACTGACAAATAAATAAAAATATAACAATATAAATATGTTTGTATTTATATTTCTAATTTATTAATTTAAATTTAAATTAATTAAATAAATTTAAATTTAAATTATTTATTAATTTATTTTATTTATGTATTAAAATACTTTAGAAATAAAACCACATGAAATAATTTAAAAAAAGCGATTTTAACGAAAGGTAAATAATAATAAACTTAAAAATAGGAGTAAATTATTTTTTTGAATAAATAAAAAAAGGAAATAAATAAATTCTTAAAAGGTAACATTTCAAATTTTAAGGTCAAGCAAAATGACATAATCAGTAATAAAAAAATAGAAATAAAAGTAAAAAAGTAGAGAAAAAATTAAAAAACCAGAAAAGACGTAAAAAATATAAACAGATTCACGTGGCAGAAATTCAAAGCTTAACGTCAAAAAGAAACATAATTTGTCAGTCTCACCATTTTTTTCATCACATGCACACGCACACAAAACACTATTCTCATCTCTATTTCAACATTTCATTACTATATTTGACGAAATATTGAAAATTATTCGGAAAAAACCAAGCAAAAACAACTCCGAAATCCCTCAATTTCAAAACATTTACTAAACAATAAACCCAACAATAAATAAATGAACATTGACAAGAATGAGAAATTACAATCGAAAAAGAAACAATTGAAAGAATCAAAAAAAAAACTCACCGTCTCTAATAAGACTACTGCTTTTTGTTAGAATTTCCTCAACTTTCACGACATCTAGAAATTAAATTAAATTGATATAATCAACAATATTTTCCCTCTATAAAAATTATGGGGAAATTATGAAAATTTTCCAATTATTTAGAAAGTTGAATTAGGATCTAAAATAAATTGAGAAAACCAAGAAGAAGAGAAAAAAAACTCACCGATCGATCGACTCATCTTTTCCGTTAATTTTGCCTCTTTAAAGACACTATTCTCAATTACGAATTACATATGTATTTAATGGAGAATTGCAAGTTTCATGGAAAAAATTCACGAGACTTTATCAACTCAATAAATATGGTGATAAATTGACAGAAACTAGAAATATTCTCATATACGGCAGCCATTGAGGCCTTTGACACGAAAATAATTTCCCATGCTCATATAAATTCTTCTGAATGTGTTGCTGCTGCCAGTGCCGTATATACATTGGGGGGTTTAAAAATAAAAAAAAGAGTAAAAATATTCTGAGGCTTATAATTTTCAGGCAAAAAAAAGGCAATTTAAAATACAAAATATACAATAATTATAAAATTTAAATATTAGTGCAAAAAAAAATCTTTATGAGGAATTAATTAAAATTTCTAAAATTAAACCAATTTTTTATTATTTTCAGGTTCGATTTATAATAAAACGTTAAAAAATAGTATTTTTAATTTTATCAATTTTATGGAGCTTTATATTTAGTTTTTTTTAACTAACTAATGATTTAAATACACTTAAGCATAATTAAATAGCAAAATCGTAAAATTTAAGAATGAGAAAGAGAGGGATATGCGTATATGTCTGTCCTTCTCTTTCTCATTACAAAATTTTCTCTTCCAATTCTACAATTTAAATTCTACGATTTTGTTCGTGTCGCACGTAAAAAAAAAGCAATGCAACTTAAAGCACTTTTGAAAAATAAAGGAAATTATAATTGTTTTTAATATCTCAGAAATTAACGGTTTCAAGTTGTCACATTTTATTAATTTTACCACAAGAGCAATTGCAAAGATAGTGGTTGTGAACAGAACTTAAGAAGACAATTGCAAAGAAAATGCTTGTGAAGAAGGCTTAAGAAACATTCAAGCCTCGCTTTTGGTGTTTATTGCAAAATCACCATAATAACCACGCCGGAAAAAATCATCGCCCATTGAAATATTCTTCCATTTCATCATGTCCCTTCTTGGAGAGAAGTCGCTCCGTTTTGCATCGTGTAATTTTAAAATGCCTTGATAGTCACAAATCAATTTCTTTTTTTAAATTTTACCAAAAAAAAAGAAAAAATGGTTACAAGTGGAAGGTGCATAGTAAAAAATTGTAAATATGCTAAAACAATAAAAAGGAATCGAGCTCAACAACTAGGATTGACTTTTCACCGGTAATTATACACAATTTAATTTATTTCAATTTACAAAAAAAACACCTTTTTCCCAAAAAGAAAATAAATAAAAATTAAATTTAGAAAAAGAATTCAAAATTTGAATAACAAAGTTATTAAAAAAAAATACGTAACGCTTTTGTTTGAAACCCCCCCCCTTTCCTTTGTAACAAGTAGCTTAACCCTCCCCCTCCTTGCTTAACGGGTATGGGGGGGTGAGAGCTATTTTTCAATGAATCATTTTCCGTTAATTCGAAAAAATGGAATTTAATTAAAAATTTTTTATTAAATTTTCTAAAATTATAATAAGAAAGAAAATCGAAGTCATTCAGACAAAGATTTGTTTAATGTTACTCCACAGATTTCCTTTTCAGGGAGTCAATTTAGCAACAGTTAGAACATAAATTTTTCAATAAATAAATTAGAATTCGTTGGAAAATAAAAATATTACACCCTTATATTGGAGCCATTTTTATACAGAATCAAAAACTAATTAATAATCAATTTTTAGTATAAATAGAAAGACACATATATAATAAATAGTAAAGAAAAGAAAAAATAAATAAAATTCTGTTTTTTTATGTATAGCTTTCCGAAGAATTCAATAAGTCGGCAAAAATGGGTGAATGCGTTACAGTTGTGGTCAGAAAATATCACCGAAAGTCATCGTCTTTGTTCTGAACACTTTTTGGAAGGGGATTTTGATAAAACAGTACCATCTCTAGTGAGGCTGCGAAGAAATGCGGTTCCATTTTTAAATCATGATTATGTAAGTATTAATTTATTTTTAAACAAATTTTTTTTTATTTATATTTAACATTAAAAGTTGTTTTCTATATTTGGCAGACTCAGTATTATAAATTTTTTTTCTCATAGAAAGAAATAAACTAAGAAGAATTTTTAAACTGTCGTTACTATTTAAATTTACAACCGTTAAAATTCTGACCCTTCTCAGAATGGAAACTTTTTTCTTGGTTGGGAACAATTAACAATAGAATATAATTGTTAATTATTTTTAAAATATTATTGTTAATAATTCCAAAAAAGAAATAAATTAATTTTATAATATAAATTTCTATATTGTTATATAGGGGCCGTTCATAAGCTACGTCACACTATTTTGCATAATTTTTCCACCCCCCCCTACCCTCGTCACAAATTTTACATGCTTTAGCGCCATTTTTTCTACAGAACGTCATAAAAAATGAATTCCACCCCCCCCCCCTCTAAGGCGTGACGTAGTTTATGGACGGCCCCATATAAAAATATTTTTGCATTTTAAATATTTCATTTTATATTTACTTTCTGTATTTTAATAAACTAATAATTAAGTAAATCATAAATTAATAAGATAACAGAAAATTTATCTCAGGATTTCAATTATTTTTAATATAATTTTAAATAAATTCCTTTAAAAAAATGCAATTCTAAAAATTTTATTAAAATTCTTCGAAAGAACTGAATTATTATTAAAAAGTTAGATATAATTTCTTTATTCGTAATAATTATTTTCAATAAAATTTTAATTAAATTTGTCGAAAGAATTGAATTATTTAAAAAAATTTTAATGAAATTCATCCTAACAATTGAATTATTTAAAAAATATTTTAATAAAATACATCCTAACAATTCAATTATTTAAAAAAGATTTGATAAAGCTCTTTATAAGAATTCCAATTTAAGAAATATTGAATTCAATAAATTATTCATTTTTGTATTTAAATAATTAAATTCTAGTAGAACTTTCTTAGAAGAATTGATTTTTAAAATAAAAAATTCTGTTCAGATCGAATGTGAAACAACGTCGCAAATCGACAGTAATTCAAGCAGCAGAGAATCTCAGAAATTAACTTCATCATCAGAAGTGTTGAACAACTCAGAAGCAATTCTAACACTTGAAGAAGAGGAAACTTTGGAAAAATCTCCCTCACTTCGTTTGGATACGCTCAAAAATGAAGAATTTAATTTCGAGGAAACGATAATTGAAGCAGAAACAACAGTAAACGAAAGGGACGGTGAGTAATAAATTAAAAAAATTGTAAACTTCTCGTTTATTAATTTGGGACAATTCTTTCCTTTCTGGATAAATTAACTAATAATTATAAATTATTTTAATTTTCTTCTAAAGTAGATGAATTTATTTTAAAAATTAATTGAAATCAAAATTTTCCAGATTCGAATGAGAGGATTCTTTTGGATTGCTCAACATCAATTTCATCAATTCCAGAGGAAGTAGTTGAGACTTCCGCCAGTCAAGATTGCAGCAAAGGAGAAGAAAATGAGAAAAAGGAAATAATAATTCTAAAGCAGAACTTAGAAGAAGCTTACTTAAAAATTGCATCTCTAGAAGCAGAATTATTGAAAATGAAACAACAAAACTAGAAAACTCATCAAATTATTGATAATTTGGTAATGTAAAACATTTTCTTGGTTAGATTCTTTCACATATTTTGAAAATATTAAGTCTTTGATAACAAAGAAAAGTCTTTGTCAAAGATGAAAAATTTGCGAAATTTTTAACAATTTATTCATAAAACTAAAGTGAACGAGATGAACTCCTACTGTTCTAAATTAGTACTAAAATTTTCACTTCATTTGTCTCTAGAGATTTATTTAATTTATTCTTTTGAATAAAACTCTTCTGAATTATTTTTTTATTCATAAAAGATTGTAAATAACTGTTTTAAGTGGTTTTATAGTTCGTTTAATTGAAAAACTATAGGGTATGTTGTTGCTCGAGACGATTTAGTTAATTTTACTATTTTGTTAATTTGTCTATGACAATGTGATTTAATTCTAGATTTACTATCGGTTTCAAAATAAATTCGAAATCGTTTCCAGAAGTAAACATAGACAATTTTATATTCTTACTTTTTAAGTAATGTTTCATTAATAAACACTAGCCCAGTATTCAACCGCAAATATATTTTGAAATAAATAAAAGAAATATTTTCATAAAACATTTTCATTAGGATAATAATTACAATAACCATTATAATAATTTTCATTATATAATTTCATAAAGGACAAATTGAATAAATATTTAATAACTAATTGTAACCTACACTTTTTCGAACTTTTTGATTAAGTTTTAAATTTTTGTAGGAAAAAGGAATTAATATAATTATTGAGGTAACTCAATATTTCACTTGCATTTTGCACTCATAATTAATGTAATCATTTGGGAATGCTAAAAGAAATTAGCATCTCAATTTAGATTTCATTTGAAAAAATTTAAGTATGTTTATCATCAACCTTCTTAAAAGTAATGTTAGACTAATTTGCATACTTAATACCATTACAACTTAACGTTATTGTGCCAACTGTACCTTCTTTTAATACTTCATGCCTACTAAGGCAAATGTCTCCATAGCTAGTAAACAAGCTTGCTTTACAGACAGCACCATATAATCATGTTTAACAATCTGTTTGTATGCAGATGTTTTATACGTGCAGACTTCCCCACAGGGAAGTCGGATTACAGACTTATGATGTTCACGAGAATTTTACTGAACAAATTTAAGTAATATGCAAGTAGAACTGGTTTAGACTTACTCATCCTAACAACTTTTGAAAATTTTAACTAATATATTTATCATAAAAAAATCCTATTGGGTAACCTTCACTCATTTTAGGTAGACTAAGTTTTTCGAAAAAAATGTCTGTCCTATTAACTTTAAAATCGTTATTAATTTCATCTCGTTCATTGTTACAAAAGGAGCATCTGAAAAATATGATTTTATAAATTATTTGAAATTTGCATACTTAATACCATTATAACTTAACGTTATTGTACCAACTGTACCTTCTTTTAATACTTCATATATTGGATTGTCTTTTGTCACATACAAATTCATTGCAATACCCACAGGGAAGTTGGATTACAGACTTATGATGTTGACGAGAATTTTATCTGAAAAAATTTAAGTAATACGCAAGTAGAACTGGTTTAGACTTACTCATCCTAAAAATTTTTGAAAATTTTAACTAATATATTTATCATAAAAAAATCCTATTGGGTAACCTTCACTCATTTTAGATAGACTAAGTTTTTCGGAAAAAAATGTCTGTCTATTAACTTTAAAATCGTTATTAATTTCATCTCGTTCATTGTTACAAAAGGAGCATATGAAAAATATGATTTTATAAATTATTTGATTACAAGTGCATCGTCGAAGTACTTACTGTAAAAACACTGTATCAAATCTATGAAAGGTAAAATATTTTTTTCATTTTATTAAAATTGTATTTTGTAAAAAGAGTTCATTTTGTATTCTTGTAAATAAAAATACTGTATTTTGTCAAAATATCACATATTGTTCTTCATTTTTATCACAAGCACAAACAACGACAATACAACACAGTACAACGATAAAAGACACTTTAGCTTCAAAATACTTTAAGTTGTACTTGTGTTAGTTTTTAACCATTTTAACTTTATTACCTGAAATAAAAAAAAATTTTTATTGAATATTATTAATATTAATTATATTTATATATGAATAGAATTTTAATTTTTTTAGGATTTTAATGTTGGTCTTTACCAAGGACCACTTTTTTTCATTTTTTCCGTAATTTGAACCTGTTCAAGAATGTCAAATTATTAAAAAAAACTTAATAATTATCTTATTTCTGAAAGTAGAATAAATTCGAAATTGAAAGACAAGCCCGCAAACGAAATTATTGAAAATATTTTTGCAACAAATTTATTAATAAGCCCTGAAATTCTCTGTATTTTATTTTTCGATATTTATTTATATTTTTTTGATAACAGTATTTTTGAAACAGAAAATATGTAAAATAATCTTTAATTCTGATCTAATGTTCGTTGACATAAGTCTATATAGATAATTCTAGCTTTTAAGCTAATTTTTTAAAATTTTGTCATACACTGGAGCTTCACTTATTTTCAGTCTCACTTATTTTCAGTCTCACTTATTTTCACCATTTCCAGTCTCACTTATTTTCAGTTAAATGGTTCTCCGTGCGTTCTCATTGGTTGATGTTAAAGAATCCACCAATCAAATCAACTCGAATGTTACGTTTCAGAGTGAAAATAAGTGCGACTTTGCCTTTCAGTTTGTTTGGACTTAGTGAAAATAAGTGAAGCTCCAGTGTATTATTATTTATAGCCAATATAAAGTGACAAATAAAAAATTTTTATTATTTAAAGTTAATTTAGCTTTAATAGAACAAGTTTAGTAACTTATATTTTTGCAATTTGTTTACACTTTAAAATTATTAAATATTAAAAATTGTAACATAGCCTACAAAAAATGTATTCTATTTTAAAAAAAATTAAACGTATAAGTATTCAAAACAAATATTATGAAAAATAAAACTTATTCATCCCTGTTGTTTGTTTTTTTCCTATTTAATAATATTACATTCCTTAATTTTCATATATCAATGAAAATTACGAAGAATTTTCGAAAAAAAATTATTTCCGAAATCTTTTCACATGGGACAGAATTAAACGGAAATGCTTGCATGTGTGATAGAAAGAAACAGAAATATCATCTGTCCTTTTCTATCCCATGCAGGCATTTGCTTCTCATTTTATTGTTTAATTTTGAGGTTAGGAATCGTAACCGTAATCGCAAACGGAGGAATGAGTTAGAGAAAGATAGGTATAGTGTTTATCCTTCTTTAACTCATTCTTCCGTTACATTTCCGGTGTGGCAGTACCTAAAAGCTACCGGACCTTAAGGTGAGTTCAGAAAGAAGAAAAAATTACACACAGAATTCTACGTGCATAACGTCCTTAATTTTATACTTACTTTAAAATTGCAAGATTTCATGGTAGGAAAGTCGGATAATAAGAGAGAAAAGGATAAAAACATCTTCCATTTTTCTTTATCGCACAATTAAGCCTACAAGCAAAATGCAAACCACTAAATCGTATATTGTAATTTTTGCACGAGAGAGAAAAGGATAGAAATATCTCTTTCTTCTTTCTAGAAAAAGCTAAACGATATTCCTATCCTTCTCTCTCTCACGTGTAAAAATTACGAAATACGATTTAGGTTTCATTCAGCTTTTAGGCCTATTTACGTTTTGGTTAAGATGCAGAATTAACAACACACACACGTGGGGGCCAAATCAGTGATTGGTCACACAATACATGACATAAACTGAAATTCTAAGAATCGAAAAGATATTGAGAAAAATAGCAAACAACACACAAAAGAAGAAGAATTTTCTTTATATGTACTTCTAACTTTTTTTTTTGAAAAAATGGTTCAGTGTGTTGTAAAAAATTGTGAAAATAAATTAACAAGAAGTAAACAGCGTAAACGAACCGGAATTACATATCATCGGTGAGAAATATAATTAATGTTTATAGATATATACCCCATGTGTTTATTTTTGAGGTTAAAAATTTAAATCCTATCCTATTTTTCATTCAATTATCAGTTTAAAAAAATAAGCAAATATCAGTTAGAATTTTTATTTTCTAACAGTGGGACGAAAAATAAAAAAATCGATTATTTTTTAAAACAAAATTAAACAAATTTTTTTAGGTTTCCTAAAGATCCATTTCTTAGAAAACAATGGGCGAGAGCTTTACAATTAGGTAAAGATGTTATTCTCAATAATCAACGGGTTTGTTCGAAACATTTTTTAAAACATGATATTGACAAAAGTATATCGTCCAGAATAAGAGTGAAAAAGAATGCCATTCCTTTTTTGAGTTCTTTTGTAAGTATGTTTTATTAATCAAAATTATTTTATAAACCTTTAAGATTTATATCTTCATTCGGAGGATAATTATTACAATAAGAAATTAGTAATTAATAAATAATAATTATTTATAATTTTAAAATATATAATTTGTCAATAATTATTTTAAAATATTTTTAAATTATTGTCGATTTCTTAGGTTTTTAAAATTCAAAATGGCGGAACCAATATGGCGGAGATTTTTCTTTTAAATGATAAAATCTTAAAATTTTGCTTTTTGGGACTTTTAAATAAAGATTTTTGTGAGATTAAAAATCTATAAGAATATATAAATAAATAAAAAATGTAAATAACGAAAATTATTTAAATTAATAAATTTACATTTATAAAGTATTTAATAAATTATATTAATATAAATAATTTAAATTATAATTTTGAACTTACTTATATTTAAGGGGAGGGACCAGTGAAATTTCAACTCATCTAAATAATATACTTCGAAAAATTAAAAAAATTTAATTACTTAATAATTTTTGAATTATTTAATTATTTAATTATTTCAAAATTTTCGAAAATAAAAGTTTGAACTATCTTTCGTAATTTTTATTAATTTATTAATTTTCACTTTAACTTAGTACGCATGTGAAATAAAGAAGGAAGTCGACAATGATTCACAAGTCAGTGAATCGGAGGAAGAGAAATTTTCACCGTTTTCACCTAAAAAACTACATAATCTCGATGCGTTTATAACTTCTGTTGAATGCGATGGCACATTAAAAAGATCACCATCATTAATTTTCGATTCACCTTATAAGAGTTTCTTAGAAATATCCGTTGTTCGAAAAGAGGATGAAGTAACAAATGAAAATAAATTTCGTAAGTTTATTTAAACATTTTTCACTATAAAATTATATTTCTATCCACTTAGTAAAAATTTTAATAATTGATTTTATTCCTCATGGAGAAAGAATTTAAAAATTTATAAATTTTACAAAAGAAATATTTTATAGGTTTGAGACCAGAGAAGTTTAACGATCGAGGAACGTCACTATCACCACAAAAAGAAATCACAATTCCAAAGGTAGAATTAAATCAAGACAGTTGTGAGGAAAAAAATAATTATCACAAGAATAATGTAATAGCTGATAAACTAACTGAAAAACTGCGTCTTGCTAGTTTAAATATAATGACAATGGAAAAGGATATAAATAGTTTGAGACAAGAGATAAATAAACTGCAAAAATCAGTTTCCGAATACACAATGACCGTTAAGATTTATTAGTTTTAAAAAGATAAGTTGAATATTTGAATTTATGTAATTTTGTTCCATTAGGGTTTAAAAATCGTGTTTCATATAATTTTCGTCAATTTTTTTCCGTTCTCGTTTTTTTTCGAAAATAACTGCAGAAAATATTGTTTAATTTTTCAACTTTTCTTTGTGTTATTTATATTCATGACAAATATACTAATCGAACTTCTGCCGATTATTAAAGACATCAGAAAATAAAATTGTAAAGTATTAGTGCATGTTATAAAAAAGTATATAGTATTATTTATATATGTAAAACATTGATAGAATTTAAGATGTCGAGAGTTACCGCACTGTTAAGTAACATTAATTTCTTTTGTACCTGTAATTTATAGATTTTTGTAAAAAAAATATACGTAAAAAATAATTTTTTCAGAAAATATTTGTTCTATATACTTTCACCTATTATGACTTTTATCTATTCCATATTTTCAAACTTTCAAAAAACATACATGTTAACCATGTGTCTTTATTTAAAAATTATATGTAGATATATAATTTTTATTTTATACAATTCAGCTAAATTAATCGTTGACGAAATGCTTTCATTTAAAAGCATTTTTTTTCTTGGTTAAATTAACGAAAATTTTTTTTATTAATAAATACTATATAGCCCAGTATTTAACCGCAAATAACTCTTTTTAAAATAAATAAGAAACAAATTTTTTAATTATAAAAAAATATGATCGTTTGACAAAATGCTTATTTCTATAAAAGCATTCTTTTTCTCTTGCAGTTAAATTAACGAAATCTTTTTTTCATTATTAAATACTTTATAGCCCAGTATTTAACCGCAAATAACTCTTTTGAAAATAAATCAAAAAAAATTTTTTTAATTTAAAAAAAAAAATGAATAAAATAAAGTTCTATTACTTATTTCATATTCAATGAATAATTTATATTTGATTTCTATTTAAATGGATTTTAATAAATTATAAAATTTAATCAAGTCAAAATTCGAACTTTAAAAATACTTAAAAGAGTATATAAAGTCAAAAGCAGATTTTAGCCACAGGACATGAGATAGAAAAGGACATCGATAGTCTCTGTCCTTTTCTAATATATTCTCTGTTCCTCAAATCGAAATAATTCTGCTTTAGCTAAAGGAATAAAATTTATTCGAAATAGAAAATATAACGACAAAATTAAATTCTAATTTTGTAAAAATAAATAATTATTATTTTATAAAAATTATTAATTAAAATAAATAATGATTTTATATAAATAATTTATAAGCGTTTGATCAGGATATAAAAAATCGATCCACTCTCTGCGGTAGAATATAATAATCCTGTAACGTATGTGGTGGTGATCGTGGCAATCATCACAACAATGACACTTACACAAGTGTGAAAAAGTCACACATGCTCATAAGACAACTTTATTTCTCGTTTGACGACTAGACGCTTCCTCTCTTTTCGTCTATATATTCTCAAATTTCTTCTGTTCTTCATCATCTCGCGAGTCGAATAAAAAATAATACTGATTAAAAGTAAAATACAGTGAAATTAATGTGTGACCGAAGTGAAAATTTTGCCAAATAATAGAATTTTTATACATTTTTAAAGTCGTCACTTGTCAAATTATTGACCATAACCTCAAAACAATGACAACTGAAGCGACAGTTCTCTTTGCAAAGCTAGAGGCTTTAAAAGATATCAGGTAAGTAAAAAAATATTTCTTTTCAATTTATATAAAAATTACGGGTCTTTCCGCGGTAGTTAATTTAGTTTTTTCTGTAACTGAAACCTTTAAATGCAAACATTGTTGTTTGTAGAAATCGTATTAAAAAAAATCGAAAAAATTACGAAAAGATCTAAAAATGAAGATTTAAAATGAAAAAAAAAAATAAACCAGTTTGTTGACAAAACATTGTTGATATTTAATGATTTTTCTAATAACTATATGAAAACAATAGACAAAGAGGGGCGTGAAATTTCCTGAAATAAAAAATGTCAAAAAAATTCCAGATGGCGCATTCGTTTGGCGCGAAATTTAAATTTTCGTTTATTATTTTTTGGTAAATTTGAAAAAACGAAAGAGAATTTTTAAGAACTGGAAACAATTAATAAAAGATTAATTTTTTGCCAATTTACATATTGTTTTTCTTATTTTTATTTTATTTATATAAATAAATAAATTTTATATACATAAATAAATAAAATAAGAAAAACGTTTAAATCGATCTAAATTTACTCAAATTTATTTATCGTTATAATTGTATGTAAAAAATAAATTTTCCAGATCGAAAACTGTACAATTGGAAAAAGTGAAGCAGAGAATAGTTCAGGAAGTTGAACAAACAGAACAAGAGGACAAATGTTTATTCGAATACAAACAAGAAATGAATTTATTGATGCAGGAAAAAATGGCACATGTCGAGGAACTTCGTCAGATTCACGCTGATATAAACACGGTAATTATTTTTTTTTTCTACAATTTTTAATTCAACAACTTATATAATTTTCAAGCCTCGGATATTATGACTTTTTCGCAAATTTTCAAAAAATGCGACTTTTTTCGACTTATTTGCAAAAATAAGTTTTTCAAATAATTAAATTGTTCAAGATGGAAACTGTGATAAAGCAAGCTGAAGAATCGCGAAACAGATCAAGAGAGACGGCAAAAATGATTCACATAAACGATTATCAACCGCTTAAACACGACATTGACCGAATGAGAAGAGATTATTTGGGCCTCGAGAGATTACCTGAATTGTGCGAAGTGGAATCTGATCTCATTTCTTCCGAGTAAGTCCACCACTTACAATTTTATAAAATTAATATTAAAATTCAAAATGGCGTATCTTCGACAATTTTGAATTTTTAAAAAAATTGAGGAAAAGAAGTTTTTAAAAATAATCCCACGAAGTTTCGCGAAAATCGGCCAACCTTTTGGAAATTATGATATTTCTGACTTGAAATGCCTTTGAAGTAAAAAAAAATGTGACTAATTTTTGATTTTTCAATCTCAGTTACTTCGATCGTCCGGTACAAAAGTCCGAATGGCGAATGGACATTCGCAATGAGGAAATTATGTCATCAGTGAATATTCACGGACATCCGGGTCATCCGGGAGGCAATACATTTCTAGCTCCTCAACCACTTCAAGGATCAAGTAAAATCGAACAGAGGCCACTACCACCAGCTCCTTGTCCTCCTCCAGGGCCCACATTCAGGTATTCCTGGTATAACTCAATTTTTCATTGCAAAATTTACATAAATCCATTTTTATTCACAAATTTCTCCAACATCAGCCTTCGCACCCATTAAAATAAAAAATAAAATAAAATTAAAAAAAAAACAAATTTTTCTTTAAACGAACAAATTTTCTAGTTCTCTGAATATATATAAAAAAAGAGTGCTTTTTACTATTAATCGAGAATAGAACTTGAAATTGAAAAAAATATTTTCTAATTTTCAGGCAACAACCACCGCCAATGAAATCGTGTCTATCCTGCCATCAGCAAATTCACCGAAACGCACCCATCTGCCCTCTCTGTAAGGCAAAATCACGTTCACGAAATCCCAAGAAGCCAAAGAAGAAAGACTAAAAGTAAAAATAAAAACTACGATGTGTTCGATATCCCGGTTTTTTTTAATTAAAATTGCAATACTCAATGTAACGGTATTTATAGAATGTAACAAACTATAGTTCCGAATCTTCTCATCAATGCAAATTTATATAGAATTTAGGAGAAAGAAAATCTTCCAAGACTGTTTTAAATTACTAATCGTATTTTAGTCGAATTTGAGAAATGACTTTATTGTGCGTAATAATCAAGATTTTTAAAATCTTCCATTTATTGATATTTTAGAATATAATTATTAAAAACTAGTGGTAATTATTTTTTTTTAATTTTTTAGCTACTTTTGATAGTTAATGATAAATTATCGTTATTATCTATAAGATTAGGAGTTAGATAATTTTCTTTTGCTTATTGTGTGTTTTGTATTTGCTACAAGGTTTTAATTTTTAAGAAGAAAAGAGTTGTATCGCACTTTGTTATTTTCAACACGAAATTTCGATTTAGAATACAATATTGTGTTTTTATTTAATTGAATAAAATAAATGTATGATAAAAAAACAAATGTGTTGTGAGTTATTAATCAAAAATAATTTCAAAAACCTGCTTCTAGAAATTTTGAATTGCGACTTTTTCGATTTTCCTTCCAAACATTGCAACAAAATACCACAATTTTTTTATAGTAAAAAAAAGTGCAACTTATTTTGATTTTTATAATGCGAAAAATAACTATAAACAAATATTTTAAAAATTGTTATTTTGAATCATTTTTTAACATAATCAAATTTTTCAAATAAAAATCTTTTTGTATAGTTGAAATTTTGTAAAATTTAATTGAAATTAAATTAAATTCATTTATTTTAAGTATTTTGTTACAATTTTTGAAAATCATCTTTTGAAGAATTTTAATTGCAAATTTTGAAAATAATTGAATTATAAAAAACTTTAATGAAAAATCTTTAAAGGTAAATTTAAAAATGAAAAGTAGCTTCTAATTTTTTAAAATTCAATATTTTCAATTAAATATTTCCGAAAATTCAAATACATACATACAAAAATTATTTTTAACATTTTGAAGAAAACAATCATGCTCAAAATTTTTAATTAAAATTCATCAAAAAATTAGTTTTTTTTTTAAATTATACAAAAATTCTTTTAAGAAATTCAATTATTTTCGAAAAATTACATTAAAATATGTTTAAAAACTAATTATTAAAATAGTTTCGGAATTTGTTGTAAAAAAAAATAAATTGTCTCAAAGATTAAGCCATTCATGTCTAAGTGTCTTAGACTGAACCTTAGCTAAGCTAAGCTTCTTCCCATGTATTTAAGTAATTAAAAAAAGTATTCAAAGAATACTTTTTCTTTGTACACGGTGAATTTGAAGAAAAAGCAAAAAATATTGAAAATATTTATTACCTACTTATTTATTTATTTTTTTTTTGTGTTGAACTTATTAAAATAATTACAAATTTTTCTGCAATAATTGCGCATATCTGGTGGTGATAAAAAGTGATGTGTCTATAAATCTATCGACACAATTTTTTAAACATTTCTCTGTTTTACTGTCCAATTTCGAGCTTGGTCGGTCTACGCACATGTCCCAGCAAATGCCGTTAAATTCGTGCAACTGAAAATTAATATATTTTTATATTAATTGTTGGATCCGGCTAATATTTGCACAATATTTAGTACTATGAATGAGTATTTCAACCACCAAGTGTTTTGAAATAATTTTATAAAAAATTGTAGAGAGGGAAAGGGGTTGAAGATTTTGGATAAGTATGAACAGTGAGTTTTCTAAAAAATTGTGTTTTTTGTTCCATAGTTTCCCTGCTTGACGGTACTAATTTATTTTTGAGAATTAATTAATATTCGACCCCTGGTACTTATAGGATTAAAGTTCATGGAAAAAAATGAAACAAAAATCAAAATTACACTATTTTAAAATTAATCAAAATCATCAAAATTCAATCTTAAATTAGGTACAAATATCAATTACTAATATTCAACATTTTTAAGATATGATAATTGACCAAAAAATCGATTTTTTAAAATTAAAAAAACATTAATTGATATAATTAAACGATGTTTCCTTTCGTTTATATTCTAACCTCAAAATATTGCAAAGAAAATCTTACCTGTGAATTAAATTCCATTTGATTTTTCTCCGTTTCTATTAAATCCTTGAGTTCAGTTTCAATGCCTTTTTGTTTATCAGTATTATCGTCAAAGCCAGTACTTGCGAAGGAATCAGACATTTTTGGTTTTTTCTATTAAAAAATGAGAGTAAAATATTTTAACTAAAAAAATCCCAGTTGAGAAATGAGAATGAAAGCCGCTCTTTAAACAATCTAATGCGCATGCGTCAGTCATTAACGCACGTCGCACGTGTTTGTCGAACATAACCTTAAAAATCTTAAGAACGAAATTTTAACAATTGTAAATAAAAGAGTTTATTTTTTTTAATTACAAGGAACGTAAAGATTATTTTTTTTTTAAAAAGAAAAATCGATGCTTCGAGGGAAATAGAATTTTTATATTTTTTACAATTGAAAAAGAAGAGAGAAAAAAGGGGGCAAAATGAAGGAGACGGTTTTATCGAATTGTGAACGTAATTTTGTCAACAAAGCAATTTCCTTCGATACGGTATTTTTTCTCTACGTCAACTATATTTCTTATTTTTAATAATTTCATTTATTGTAATTATAATTTTGTTTTATATTTTATATTTTTTAAAATAACAACCACTTTGGCAATAATAGAAAAAGTATTGGCATTTTTATAGCGTTTAGATGGGAGAAAATTTCTCGAAGCACGACCAGTGAAAATTTATTTTGGCTCAAATTGGGGAAGTTGTTTTGTAACTTTAGGACGAACCAAGTGAGTACAAAATTTGTTTGGAATTTACAAAATTTATAATTTTTTGAAATTATTTAAAATTTAATAAAATGAGTTCGGAATATATGAATAAAAACTAAGTATTTGCGAATAATTTCTTTTTGCAGGGTTTTCGCTCAAGTTTCATGCGATATTCAAGCGCCATTAGGATCGCGACCAAACGAAGGCACTCTACATATTTATGTAAATTTAAGCTCCTTTATCGCTGTGCAATCAGAAACGTCGAAGCAATCAGAAGTCACGGCCTTAATAAACAGACAAATTGAAAAATGCATAAAGGATTCGAAATGCGTGGATTTAGAATCACTTTGTATTGTCGCCGACAAGAAGGTAATGTTTAATTTAAATATTAATAATAAATTAAGCCTAAGGCACTAAGACCTAAGACTTATGCATGAGGCCTAAGGAATAAGTCTTGAAATTTAAACATAAGACTTAAGCCTAAGACCTAAGGCGTTAGACTTAAAACTTAGACCTAAGGCCTGAGCCTAAGTCTTAAAATTTAAGCCTAAGACCTGAGGCTTAAGTCTTAAAATCCTTAAAATTTAAGCCTAAGACTTTTAAAATTTAAGACTTTAAACTAAAGCCTAAGACCTGAGGCATAAGTCTTAAAACTTAAGCGTATGTTTTAAAACTAAAGTCTAAAACCTGATTTTTACAGGTATGGGACATAAGAGTGGACATAAATATAATAAATCACGACGGAAATTTAATTGATTGCGCCTCCATAGCAGCAATCACAGCCCTTTCTCACTTTCATCGACCCGATGTCACTTGCGATGGAGAGGAAGTGACGATCCACTCATTTTCCGAAAGAGATCCACTGCCACTCACTATTTATCACTATCCAGTCTGTGTGTCCTTCATTGTATTCGAAAAGTAAGAAAAATTTATTTTTTCACAAAAATATTTTAACTTTGAAACTATATTTTATATTTAAAAATATTTGCTAATAATGAATAGTAATAATAATAATAAAAATACTGCTTTTTAAATTTTAATATATTAAAAAAAATTGATTGATTGATTTATTTATTTATTCTTTCAGTGGGCACACGGTAATTGATCCAACGTATTTAGAAGAAAGAGTCGGCGTCGCACAATTAACGATGGGCATCAATTCTTACAGAGAAGTTTGTTGTTTACACTTTGATTATTTAACCGAAACGACGTTGGCCGTTGATGTTATTCCCTCTGTTTCCGATTTCGCCGCTTATTACGCGAGTCAATTGACTAGTTTAATTAAAGAAGTTGTCCAAAAGGATATAAAAGCTAGGTAAGTTTACTAAATAAATACTATACTATATAATATAATAATACTATACTAAGTAATATTACTAACAATTAAAGGCAACATTTATAGTTTACTATTTTAATTAAAAAAAAAATTTTTTTTCTTTAAGGTATGCAAAATTGGAAAACGAGGGAGGTCTCACATTTAAGGATTGTATAACGCAAGACAAAGTCACTGCGTTGAAAGCTGAAAAAATAATTATTCAATTGTCCGCCTGGCACACTGGAATTATGCCAAAAGTTCCTGGTATGAATTCCTCTCTTCCTTTAATTTTATTCGATATAAATTAAAACAAAAAATTTTACTATTTTTAATTATTTTTCCATAAGAATTAAGATTCTTCAAAACATTTTAAATTCAAACTTTTTTGAAATTCAACAAACTTATAATAATTAAATGATTAACTAAAATTCTTCTTTAAATCAATTATTTTTAATAACTTTTTAAAAAGTTCTTCGAGAATTTTCAAATCCATTTGTTTACAATTCATTTTTACGAAATTTCATCGATTATTCGTAAATTCTTCAATTAAATATATATATTAGAAAATAAAAACTTTAAATAATTTCAAAAAAAAAAAAAAATCAGCATTTAAAGTTTCTCAAAAAAAAAATTAATTCCACAGAATTGTTAGTTAAAAATATGAAAATTTCAAATTTTCAAAGATTTTAATTTGAAACATTTTAAAAATTCAATTATTGCCTAAAATTTTAACTGAAATTCATTTTTAAATTAATTTTTAAAAGAAATTTCTACGAGAATTCAATTATTTAAATACAAATAAAATGCAAATAAATAATTTATTGAATAATTGAATGTTTCTTTAAATTCAATTCTCGTAAAGAATTTTATCAATAAATTTTTAAATAATTGAATTCTTTCGACGAATTTTAATAAAATTTTTAAAAATTATTACATTTTTCGTGGAATTCGATTAAAATTGTGTTAAAAGTAATTCAAATTCTACGATGAGTTTTATTATTCATGAAAATAATTGAATTCCTAAAAAGAATTTTATTATTTATGAAAAGAATTGAAACCCTGTGAATAATTTCATTATTCATGAAAATAATTGAATTAAGGGGAATAAATTTATAAAAAATTTGAAAAGAATTGAATTTCAGTGAAATATTTGTTATTTATGAAAATAATTATATGTTTGCGTAGAATTTTATCCAAATTTTTTCTAAATAATTGAATTCTACCCGGAAATTTGATTTGAAAATCATTGAATTGAGAAAAACTTTTTAAAATAATTGAAATTTTGACAAGAATTTTATTAAAATTTTTTTGAAAATAATTTAATTTTGAAGAAGAATTTTATTATTTATAAAGATAATTGAAATTTTGATGAGAATTATTTTTAAATTTTTCTGATCATAATTGAATTTTTTCAACTTAGTTATTGAATATCATTGAATTGAGGAAAACTTGAAAGTAATTGAAATTTTGCAGAGAATTTTATTTAAATTTTTGATAATTAATCACCAAAAAAAATTTTATTATTTATTAATATAATTGAAATTTTGAAGAAAATTTTAAACATAATTGATTTTCTACAAAGAATTTTATTACTTTTGACTCGCTTTTAAAAATAATTGAAATTTTTCCAAGAATTGCATTAAAATTTTTGAAAATAATTGAATTTTGGAGAAGAATTTTATTACGTTTGAAAATAATTGAATTTCTTCAATTACTTCTTAAATTTTTACAAAATTCAATTTTTTTTAAAAATGTTATTAACTAAAAATTTATCTACAAATCCAGTATTTTGAATAAATAATTAAATATATATATATTAAAAAATTTAACTAATTTCAGAAGAATTTGAATTATTAAAATTTTTCAAAAATCTAAGTTCTTTAAAATTTCTATTTTAATTTATTAAGAACTAAAATTTTGTAAAATTTGAATTTAAAACACTGCTAGATATGGTTATTATAAATAATCGAAAAACGGATTTAACTAAAAGAAAATATTAATTATTAATAATTAAAAAATAGTTTAAAAATTTTAAAAACATTGAAATGTATTAATTTATATTTTCTGTTAATTAAGAATATTAATTTAGCTATAATAATAATAATAAATAATAATATTAATAATAATAATAATAATAATAATAATAATTTTAATACTGAAAAAGTTTTTAAATGACAAAAATATAAAAATTTGTTGAAAAATAGTTTTGGACGAAAGTATGGACGAGGGTGAGGAGAGTGACGACGTGAAAATGGACTTGGACAGTGAGGAAGTAATCGTAAAAACAGGAGAAGGATCTGCCGAATTATTCGAAGATAAGGTAACGTTAAAAAAATTGAAGTATTTTCTAAAACTTCATAAATGATTCACAGTTTTGTGCACATAGCCACACTTATTCTTTCTTCTTTTAAAATATCTTTTAAACATTCTACTTACTCATTATTTTTTATTCAATAACAAAATATTACAATATTCTCCAAATTTATACAAACAAAATAAAATTTCCACTAAATTCATTAAAATTTCCATTTTGGACAGACAATATCTTTATATTTTAATATAAAATAATAATTCTTTTAATTCAAAAATTTTTCCTTCTATAGAGTAAAATGATCGGCATGGGCGGTTTCAACACTTGGCATAGTTCCGATTCAGAGGATGATGATGATCCGGGCATAAAGGACGTTGAAATAGTGCAAGTGACAAAAACAAAAAAAAGAGTTCTCGATGACATTGGTAATTTTTTTGTGTATTTTTATTCCTATCGTAAAATCAAAAGTAACAATTTCATTTATTTTTATTAATTTTTAATCTAAACATTTCGCTAAAAATTTTGAAGAAAAAGTATAAATTAAAAGTTGCAATAAATATACAAAAACATTTAAAATAAATATTTTTCTTTTTTTTATAATTTTTCTATTTATTCCATATTTGGTCGATTTATTTTTTATTATTTAAATTTGGTTAAGTTTATAATAGAAAGTTTTTACAATTTTTAATGCACATGCCTAGATTTTAAGATAAAATTTCTTTTTGAAAAAAAAAAAAATTTTCTTTTTGGAAATTTCTTTTTTAATTTAGAAACTTTTCCCCTAAATTGAATTCGATTGTACCTTTTTTTTTTGTCTTTCAGAATTAAGTGGGGACAGTGAGGAAGAAACGACAACAACGATTTCAACCAAGGACCTGGAATAAAATTTGCGGTAATTTAAAAGTATTTTTTTTCGAATAAAAAAAAGGTTTTTCAAAATTTCCTAACTTGATTTACATAAAGAAGAAGAAGAAGACGTACAGTAGATGAATTTCTGCAAATATATCTATTTATATAACTTTTCTTTTCCCTAATAAGTAAGTTATAATTATTATCTTACAAATAAAAAAATTTCTTTTACAAAAAGAATGGACGTCACTAACGTAACTTTAAAAAAAAGGAGAAAAGAAAACAAAGGGGAAAATTAATTTCCAGTCACTCTTCTCTTTTTCCAATCATTCAATTCGAGATTCACAAACACAAGAGAATGCAAAAATAGATTTTCTTTTTCACTTGATTTTTTTCAAACACATGAACGTAAATTTTTTTTTTACTCTAAATTCTTTCATCATTTAGACAATTTTTCTTTACACGTTTCTCGTATTTAACTCCTGTTTAAAAAATCATTAAAAAAAAATTTCTCTTTCATTGCTGTAAATCAAATATTTTCTGTAAAATACAATAAAAAAAAATCTGTAAAGTTTAAAAAAAATCAATAATGTAAAAATGTAAATTTTAAATTTTCTAAATTTGTTCCTATAGTTTTATAAATCAGTTAAAAATTGTTCTAGAAATTGGAGTTAAATACATTTCGCGAGTATTCTTAAGAGAATTAATTACATTTAAGATTTGATCGAATTTTTTTCAGTCTATTTTTTCACCTCTCTCGATGTTTTTTGGCGGGGAAATTTTTTTTTTTTTTTGTTCATTACAGTCGCACATACGATTGTTACGCAGGACGTCTTGTAATTTCATTTTGACAAACGAAAACTATATATATATTTATATATTTATATATAATTGTCGGGAGTAAAAATTCATGTGACAACGTCGATTGACTCCACGGATGGAGATTTCGGCTACGTTGTATCACTGTTCAATCCATTTTTTTGATCGAGTTTATTTGCATTTGTCTTCACGGCATAAAAAAAGAAACTCAACGCTTCTTTTTCAACTATTGGAATTGTCTTGAAGTGCTTCATAAGGGTCTGTAAAAAGACAAAAAAAAAAGTTTCAGAATTAATTTTTTTAAATTCAACAAACTTATAAAAATATATATAATTAATAATTATTAATCAATCCAAGTTAGACAAAAAAAATTAAATTTTCATTTAACTTATAAAAATATATTATAAAACATGAAGAAATCAATTACTCCGAGTCTTCGACTCGGACCGAGTGATAAAATCAGTATTTTAATTATAAGAATATTGTTACTGTAACTTTTTCAAAACTATTTTCATCATTTCAATTCAATTATTATTTTCTACAATTTTTATAACTAAAAGATTAAAGATTAAAATTAAAGATTAAAATTAAAGATTTTAATTTGAAACCTTTTCAAAATTCAATTATTTCTAATAATTGACGGAAAAATTCTTTTAATATTCAATTATTAACTAAAAATTTTAACTTAAATTCATGTTTGAATCAATTTTGATTCGAAAATTCTACGAGAATTCAATTACATATTTAAATACATAGAAAAAATAAATAATTTATTAAATAATTGAATGTTTCTCAAAATTTAATTCTCATAAAGAATTTTATTAATAAATTTTTAAATAATTAAATTCTTTCGACGAATTTTAATAAAAAATTTTAGAATAATTACATTTTTCGAGGAATTCGATTAAAATTGTATTAAAAATAAATGAAATTCTGCGATAGAGTTTTATTCAGTTTTATGAAAATAATTGAATTATTGTGAAGAAATTTACAAAAAAAAATTTTAAATAATTGAATTCCTGGGAAATTATTATTATTATATGAAAATAAATGAATGTTAGCGAAGAATTTGATCAAAATTTGTTTTAAATAATAATTGAATTCTTTTGAAAAATTTTATTAAAATATTAAATATTTAAAATCACTGAATTCAGGAAAATTTTTGAAATTTTGCCAAGAATTTTATTAAAATTTTTGAAAATAATTAAATTATTGCGAAGAAATTTATAACAAAATTTGTAAATAATTAAATTCCTGTGAAATTTTTATTATTTTTTAAAATAAGTGAATTTTTGCGAAGAATTTTATCAAAAATTTCTTTAAATATTTCAATTCTTTTGGCAGATTTTATTAAAATATAAGATATTGGAAATAATTGAATTGAGGAAAATTTTTGAAATTTTGTCAAGAATTTTATAAAAACTTCTGAAAATAATTAAATTTTTGTAGAAGAATTTTATTATTTTTGAAGATAATTGAAATTTTCGCGTGATTTTTTAAAAAAAAATTTCAAATAAATTGAATTTCTAAAATTATTTCAAACAAGAATTTTATTTTTTTCTGAAAATAATTGAATTCGAAAAATAATTTTATTTTTTATGAAAATAATTGAATTTTGAAAAAGAATTTTATTTTTCATGAAAATAATTGAATTATTGTGAAGAAATTTATAAAAAAAATTTTAAATAATTGAATTCCTGTAAAAATTTTATTTTTTTTAATGTAATTAAAAGTTTGTGTAGAAATATTATTAAATTTTTTTTAAATAATTGAATTCTTTTGTCAAATTTTATGAAAATATTAAATATTGAAAAACATTGAATTGCGGGAATTTTTTGAAAATAATTGAAAGTTTGCCAAGAATTTTATTAAAATTTTTGAAAATAATTGATTTATTGCGATGAAATTTATAAAAAATTTGTAAATAATTAAATTCCTGTGAAATTTTTATTATTTTTTAAAATATTTGAAATTTTGTTAAGAATTTTATTAAAATTTTTGAAAATAATTGAATTTCGGAGAAGAATTTTAATATTTTTAAAGATAATTGAAATTTTGACTCGAATTTAATCGAATTTTTAGAAATAATTAAATTTAAAAAGGTTTTATATTTGAAAGAATTTAATTTTATCACTTTTTAAATACTGTTTTGAAAAATAATCCTATTTTTGAAGAATTATACTTCGAAAAATTTAATTTTTTAAAAAATAACAATGTTTTCATTAAATTTGAAAAAGAAAGTTATTTTTTTCTAATACTGAGCGGTAAAATTTCTTGTGCGTCCATTTATGCTAGTTAAGAAAATAATAAATTTTGGATGTAGTGAAATTTTAAAATAATTACGTCGGCAAGTTGATTTTTATTTATCCCCGGTTTCGTGGGAATTTTAAAATGCCGCTTGTATCGCTTCAAGGTTCCAAATTGCAGTTGAAAAAGATTAACTTCCGGTTGATCGTTATCCGTTTCACCTGAATCATCCTCAGAATCTTTCCTTCGTCTCTGTTGTTGTTGCTTCGTCCTCGCATTTTGAATAACTAATTTGTGATAATCACAAATATAAATGTGACGAGCCTGTAAAATTAATTTTTATTATTGATTTTTCTCCGTACTTCATTTTTTCCTTAATTTAAATTTTTTAAATTAAAAAATATTTTTTAATGTCGTGAATCGTTCTTAAATTTCAAAAATTTTACTAAAAAGATTTTAAGTTAAAAAGAAATTCTAGAAAAGTCGCCGTTTTTGGAAAATAGTTTAAAATAGTTTCAAATATTTGAAAAAAGGAGAAAATCGAAAGCCTGAATTTATATAAATAAAAATAAGAACCATTGGATCGATGTTGAGTTTTAATCGTCGTTGAGTGACGGTTTTTTGAATGCGTTTGCTGTACGAAGCATTTCCTGCCGGTTGCGAACATCTTTCGCCCTCGTCAGTTAAACAACAAATTTGATCGGCCGCTCCTCTGAAAATTTTCAATTTAAATACATTTTAATATTTTCAGAATCATTTTCATGGAAATAAAAAAAAAAATAATTAAGAAAATATAAATTTACGTTTTTTTAAACCATTTTTCGTATAATTTTTACTAAAAAAAATTATATTAGCTTTTTTCTAAATTTATTCTGGAATATTTATCTACAAAAAAAGATTTAATAAAGCAGAAACGATCAAAAAATTGTTTACTCAACATTATTATTTTCATTAATTTTTTATAAAAAATTTTTTTTTTATTATAATTTTTCTTAATTTTTTTTTTTATTAATAAAAAAAAACACTTAACAAAACTTTCAATTCTTTTTTTCCATTTCAAGACATTTCATTGTAAACTATGATCAAAATACACAACAAACGAGAATAAAAATAGAAAATAAAATTCTAAAAAAAAACTCCGAAATTATTTTTAAATTTCCACGTTTTGTTTTTTGTAAGGATAAATTTTGACTGAAAAACAAAATTTGGAAACACCCCGGAAGAGGGGAAAAATGACGCGATTACGAAAAATTACCTGGAATCTTCCTCTCCGGTACTGAATCCGTTCATTTTCTTATGTCAGAATAATATAAACACTTGTGTTATAACGCACTTGTTGTGTAAAGAAAAAAAAAGACGATTTCTCCTTTAAATTTTAAATGTCGATAATTTCACGATTTTTCACGGAAAAATTTTCTGCCACAAAGATCACACTTTTCACACATGATTTTTTAGTACACCGACAAATTTTTTTCCCCTTTCCTATTATGTATTTTAATCAAATTTTAGATTTTTCTTATCAATGCAAATGTTTAATCGAAAATTTGGATATTTTGGATATTCGGAGGAGAAGAAATTTAAACAAATTTTTCCTACACTTATAATTTGAAATTATTGATATAAAATAAATTTAAATAATTCACTATTTTCAAGGTTCACTTCACTTTTTTCGGAAGATGACAGGAGGTTGAAAAATTTATCGTCCGCTGTGTTTAATTCGTTTTCGGCACTTGAGAAACTTTATTGTTTTAATTCACTAAAGTTTCGTTAAATTGTCCTTGTGTTTTAACTTGTCGTATTGACAAATATTTTTTCAACAAAAATTTATGAATTCAATTTATTTTAATGAATATTTTTATTTTATGTCGAGAAAGTTGATTTTTGTTAAAAATCGGCACATATGCGTCACACACGTAGTTTTCACGTCGTCGTGTTGGGGGATAAAATCCGGCTTTGCTAGGTACGAGGCACTGTTGCCAACATTATAAACACAATGAGTTTTTCAATTTTTGTCAACTTTTCATGAAATGCGCATGCGCGCCAGTGAAGTAGTTATTTAGATAGATAGGCGCATTGAAAACGTGAAAGGAAATTTTTTTCTAAAGCTGTCCTCACAATGGTGTGTTTTTATATTGGACATGAAAAAAACTGACCATTCCGAATTTTTCATACAGCAAGGTTGGGCAGTTGACGAAGGTAATTAGAAATGGCACATTTGGCAACTTTCCTAATTTGCCAAATGCGACATTTTTGCCAACTGCCCAACCCTGTTGAAAGAAATTTTTAAAGGTCGATGCACAATAGCTTTTTCATGCACAATAGCAAGGTTGGGTAGTTGCCAAAAAGTCAAGGAGCGATCACAACTTGCATGTTGCATGGTCGTCATGGTAACATGTAAGAGTAAAAGAGATAGAGAATTTTTTTATTTCTCTTCCTCTTTCACGTTACCATGACGATCATCATGCACAAAGAAATCAGCTGTGAAGTAAAATGCAATTCCTTACATGTGAACTTGGCTTAAAAGTCGATAAAGTAAAAATACTTACCTTACCAAAAAATAAAAATTGTAAATCAGTGGGTAAATATTACTTATAAAAAATTTTATTTTTATTTTTAAAATCTGTTTACAGTAATTAATAATTTTTGAAAAATTTAGAAAATTGTTCTAAAAAAAATAGGGAATTTTATAATTTAATGTCAATTAATTATTCGCCTGAGGCTGAATGAAGATTAAAATGCGTACGGCTTAAATTGTTTCATTAGTTAAAAAAATATGTTTATTATTAAATTTTCTATTATTGGACACGAAAAGTTATTATATAAATAAAAAGAAATTCAGAAAATATAAAAATACAAGTTACGGCCCTGAGGACATTTATAACTCCTGTCTTTGTGATTGTATTGCACACAACTTTACTATTGCGCAGCAAATTGACGCACACCGCCCCTTTTTCTCTCTAAAAAAACTTAATAAACGTCACTTTTAAAATTCCACTGCGATTTTTCGTAAAAATTACTACAAACTAAGATTTTTGTTTCGAATAATTCATCATAACCTATAAATTTGCTTTTGCGACTACAATCTAAAAGAAGGAAAAAATATCGACAAATTTCTATTTCTCCTTCTCCCCCCCCCCCTCCCCACTATTTCGAATAAAAATCAAATAAAAATTTTCTTCTTTCTTTGTTTAAAATCATTTATAAATGGTTTAAATTACATTGAAATGAGTCTGGTGACAATAAATAACATTTAAATTTGTTTTCCTTGTTTTGATATGTCGAGGTCGTCGTGACTTTTTTTTAAAATGCTGGCAGCCCTGTATAGTTAAGCGACAGCTGCTCATCCATCAACAATGTGCTGCGCCCTGTCGGTCAATTTCTAGACCCCAACGAAAAGACAAATTATTGACAAACTTTAAAATTGATAAAAAATTTCTCTTAAAATTATGACAGTGTGGGGAAAAGATAATTTACAGTTGATATAGATTGTGAATAATTTTTGTCATGAATTTCGAGTGAATATTGTCATTGGGACATTGGATAATATTCTAATTCCCGCGCTTTTATCCGAGCAGACATTCGTAGATTGGTGGGGTGAAAAGAAACTCGACGAAAACGTAAAAGGTTGACGCTGATTGGTGTACTTTTTGCGGCTTATCTGAAATGCGCCAATGGTGGAACGCATTTTCCAACACAAGCAATTCTCATATGCCGCACGAGTGGCGTGGGGTCGCAAGATATTCGAAGCGAGAATCCTTTTAGCTGTATACAGAGAGATCCGTGTATCAGGTAAGAAAAATTCCAAATAGCTCGTGAGCAATGTGTTGACAGATTTTCGCGACGCGTTATATTATTAAGTGATATCGATCGGTAAATGGTGCTTGTAACTATAATGCGAATGTGATTCAGTGAATGATGATTGTCACTCTTTTTATTTCACAAGCAAGCAACCGTCAAAGGCAAATGGCTGCCTGTGAGTGAGGTTTTGTTCTGTGTTTTGACCAAGTGGACCGCGACGCTGGAAATCGTTGCCGCTCGGGACGAAATTGTTTTGGTGTTTTTTTTTTTTTTTCGTTCATTTCGTTTGACGATTGGTGACTCGAATGTGTTCGGATCGCGGGCCACTTGATCATTTATTTCATTGAATAAAATTGAGCGAGTTGCCAAATGTGGTGAAATAAAATAAACTCGACCGTTTTTGGTCACCTCCATTGGCAGGTCCCACCACACACGCACCCGTGTTGTGTTGCTATACGAATGCACAATTCGTAATCAGTTTCTCAATTGATCGCTTGACAGGGGAAAATCCTCTTATTTTCCAATAATGTTGTCATGATTTTTTCATTGTTGGGAATAAATGAGATGGACTTTCTGTCATGAGGCGAGTCTGCGTCATTCACTTTATGTAAAATCGGTGAGTTTCCGATTTCCCGCCCACCGCGGGAAACGTCAAACGTGTCAGACCACTCGCCACACACGATTTTCCATAGTACTTGCACTATTCAATCTCGGGGGTTGCTTTCCCCGAGCGTCAGCTGATCGGTGGAAACAAGCAATTACCTTTTCCGGAGAGACATTAACATGACATTGTGTTTATAACTCTTGATAATGTGAGAAATCAGATTCATCTTATTTTTTTTTTTGTTTATGTTTAAAAAAAACATTTTGCTTAAATTCTATTGCAGGAAATGTTATTCAATTAATAATTTATTAATAAATTAATAAAAAACATGATATTTTAAAATTCAAAAAATGGAGTGACTAAAAAACAGTCGAGTTTCGGCAATTATTGAAACAAACAAATAAATATTAATTATTTTGTTATAATAATTAATATTAAATTTCAGTATTCTTAAATGGATAATGATATGTTTTAATACTTTAAAATATTTTTAAAATGTTTTTAAATATTGTTTATTACTTAGAAGTATTTTTAAAATGTTTTTAAATATTTTTTATTACTTAAATAAAAAAAATATTGTTTAAATACTTTTAAATATTTTTTAAATACTTTTAAATATTTTTTAATACTTAAAAATATTTTTTAAATACTTTTAATGCTTGAAAATATTTTTTAACTTTTTAAAAGTATTTTTAAAGTGTTTTTAAAATGTTTTTAAATATTTTTTATTACTTAAAAGTATTTTTAAAATGTTTTTAAATATTTTTTAATACTTTAAAGTATTTTTATTACTTAAAAATATTTTTTAAATACTTTTAAGTATTTTTTAATACTTTAAAGTATTTTTTAACTTTTTAAATATTTTTTAATACTTAAAAATATTTTTTAAATACTTTTAATACTTTAAAATATTTTTTACATACTTTTGAATACTTTTTAACACTTTAAAACGGTTTTTATCTTTAAAAAAATGTTTTTAAACATTTTTTAAATACTGTTATGTATTTTAAAAATTGTTTAAAACTATTTCTAAATATTTTCTGAATGTTTTTAAATATTTTTAAAATATACATAGGAAGTACATTAATATATATAGAAAGTTTTCAATCTTCAAGTCAATCAATAAAAATAGGAAAAAGAAATGGAAAAAAAAATTTATTTGGTTCAAATATAATATTTTCATGGATAGAATTTTTTTTAAATATATTATGTATAAATTTTAATACAATTTGAATAAATTAAAAAAATATTTATTATTAATATTACAATATAATTAATATTCATAATATTAAATAAAACTAAATATAAAACTTATTTTTTACATAACTGAATTTATTATTAATATTACAATATAATTAATATTCATAATATTAAATAAAACTAAATATAAAACTTATTTTTTACATAACTGAATAATATAAATTATTTTTCTTCTTGATTAAAACAATAATTTTCATTTAATATATAAAATAATTAAAGAATAGTAACAGAGTAGAACCTAGGAAAAAATTCATAAATAAATTTCTTTTTTATTGCAGAAAATTTTTATTAAAATTTAATATAAAATAAATAAAATTTTTACTAAAAGTTAGTTAACATTTTTAGTAAAACTTAATTATTAGCTTTATGCTTTTTCACTATTTTTATATAGAATTTATTTAAACTTTATGTTTAAAATTAATTTTTGCAGTACAAAGTTGCTGTGAAAACAAACGATAAAGATATAATATTTTAATGAAAAAATATAATTGTGGGATTAGAAAAAATTATAATAAAAGTATTAAGAAAAAATTTTAACGAATTTCTTAAAGATAGAAAATATTATTATTATTATCAAATAAAATTTTTTATTACTATTTTCATTATTTTTTAATATTAAAATTATTTATAAAATATAGTTTCTTAAAAATTTTATTTAAACATAGTCAAATTTATCTAACTACGTTTGTTAATAAATTTATTACTTAGTTTCTTTTGACATAACCTATCAAAATAGAGTTATATTTCCCGACTAAAAGTCTCACTTTTGAATCAATACGAAAATAGTGGGAAGAATTTCGGACACTTGCTTCAGGAATAAAAATGGAGTCCGGTATAAAGAAAAGAAAAAATTGAATTTCTTGATTAAAAATAAATTTTTTTTATCAAATTTTCTAGTATGAAAAATTTTTATATAGTAACATAGTTGTAAATGCTAATTTTCAATATATTAATTCTAATAATGTCACAGAATTATAAATACATTGCGCAGTCGTAGAAATAAAAAAAAAATAACTACTGCGCAGAAATGGAAAAAAAAGATAATTGGCTTTTAGAAAAACTTTGGGTACTTTGAAAATTTTTTCCTGAATTTTTTATATTCCGAATTTTTTTGTAAAGTTTTGTACTTTTGTACTTTGGTAGTTTCGTCTTATGAATTTTATTTTAAAGTGGTTTTTTTATATAAAAATTATTTCATTTTAAAAAATTTTTTAAAAGTAGTTTGAGGTTATTATTTATTTAAACTCGTTTTGAACCCAAAGGTTTATACAAGCGGAGTCTCATAACAGAGAGTCTAAGAATATTTACAACGAGTA